GGGTTGGTGGTGGGTAGGTGGATTGTGGATTTAAATTTTCTGGAAGGGTGTAAAAGTGCATTTTATCCAATATAACACAACGACTTGGATAGGATCCCCTCTGTAGCTTACACAACCTTTAGCTATAATGATGTTCTCATCTGCAGTCGTCAAATTTTCGTCGTTAATAAACGTTGTAACATTTTAAATTTTTATCTTTTACTCAGCTTAGTTTAGATCAATTATTATAGACAAAAAGGATTGATCGATTGTATGTTGTTTTACGTCCTATCGGAGAATTTTCACTCATGTACAAGACTTCATCATTTTACCGTGGAAGTCTTTAGATTTATAGAATTTAGTAGGCATTTAGGGCTATTAAGCACTGAGAGATTTTTATTGTGCCAAACGCCTACCGCAACACAGGGCCTCTGTTTTGAGGTCTCATCTAAGGAGACATAGAGATGCAAATATTTTGAATTTCATATTCTTGATCCCCTGGGGACCAGAACAATCTAAATTCTTGAGTTTGAAATAAAAGATCCACAGAGTCTGACACAACAGCCGCCAAACCTTGTGATAAAAGTGATGTCTTTATCTTCAATCGTCAACTTCCCTTGATTATGTAGCATTATATCCTCATCACATGCATTTTTACTAGATTATCTCTCAACTGAGCGTGTTTTACGTATGAATTATTTCTAAAATGAGGTAAATTATTGAAAAAAGAAGTTGATGAAACACAAACATCATCAATGTCATCATTTTGTAAGTTCTATGGTCCATGCAATGGTATTGTCAGCAAATACAATCTATCATTAATGTAAGTCAATTGCTGACAGTTTTTTTCGTCTTAGAATTCTTAAGACTATTGTTTGTTGTACTCGACATAAGTTTAACGAAAATATGCAAGAACGTTAACAATGGTAGAGGATTCCTGAAATAGTATTGAGGATTAAGTCAAGAATCAAAGTTTAAAATCATGCCTTTTTGAAGTTTTTTGTGAGGTTGAAAACTGAAGTAACTTGTTTTTCGGTAATCTGTGATTTGAGATATTAATCACATTCGGAAATAAGAAACCTCCACAACCCAGAGAATTAATTGCCTCCCTCGCATTTTGCAAATTTAGAGTTGTGTTGATTGATTTAACCTGCGCAATAAAATGGCCCACTTTCAAGTGGATTTTTTAAAAAGTGTGTCTCCGGTTTCTTCCTTGATTATATGTTTTTATCATGCCTGGAACTTTTAGTATTAAGCCTAGTTGATGTTTTGATGTGCATCTCCAACATGTAAATTGCTTACACTTCCTTTTCTAATTTCTTTCTTTGAGATATTATCTGCTTCCTTCATTAATCCGTTTTATTTAGAAACTTTTTCTCTCGTAATCACGATCAAATGTTTATTAATAACCAGGATAGAAAGCCAAAAGTGCACCTTATTAACGAAAAAAAAATGCTAGGAGCCAATGAAAGAATATACATTTGTAGAAACGAAAAGTCAAATATAGTCAAAGTTATATTATTTTTGAAAAAAAAAATTATATATAGAAAAAAACTAGATAATACCGCCGGTAACATGAAATGCACCGAGGAGAAAAAGCTGACGCCTGATACAGTGTATGATAGTTCGAACACTCAGTAAGTGCATTCACTAAATAGCTGCAATGTAGTAGCTATTGTTTTCTCCACTCATCGCTTCAGATATTCAAATTGATATACGTTTATTTGAAAAGAATGTCTTGTCACAGTTGAAACTAACTGCATTCGGTTAGATAGCTCTCAGTTGATTCGATACGAAAGAGTATTCTTTACGTATGAACAATTTTTAAAACGAGGTAAGTTATTGACAAACAAGATGCTGAAAACAAGAATATCAGCAGTTTCATATAAAGTAATCATTTCGTAAGTTCTATGGTAGATACAATGACCTCAGCAAATACAATTTATCATTAAGTCAAATGCTAACTGACGTCTTTCCGACATACCAATTGTTGGGCTATCATATAAACACTGAATTGTCGACGGATTTTCCATTATTTCCCGATCATGACACGGAGCACACGGCGGTGTGACCGGTCGGCAGGGGATGCTCACTCCTCCATGGTACCTGACTCTGATGTTTTGGAGGTCCGTGTTTTCTCTGCTCCCATGGATTTTGTATTGTTTGATTGACTTTTGGACTTGAATACTGTTCGTTATCTACATATATTTCATTTGTGACATCTGAAGTTAAGTTTTGTTACACGCAATGAAATCGTAATTGTGATAAAATTAATTTAAAATTATTTGAGTTCAGTCTTTCAAAATACCTCTTTTTGCTTTATTAATTAAACATTTTTGTTAGATCAAAGGTTAAGTTTCTACATTACTTCTATACAAAATATGAGTTTATAGGGCGCCGAATTGACACTTTGCAGTTTTATCTGGAACAGCATTTAGTACTTATTTCTAAACATTTCTATAAAATTAGCATAAAGTACAATGTACATTTTTGAAAAAAAAAACATCAATAACATACTAAAGTTTCACAGTAAAGCAAATGTAACTCTGTAAGAGGGCATAAACCTTGGGGCCATGGAGATTCCAGAGGTGGGATCAGATTCCTAGTAGTAGAAAGCATCCCCTGTTGACTGTTACGGTTCACACTCTCAGTCAGTTCTATATATACGATATATTCGTAGATCAGGTAGATAAAACATTTTGTAGTCATATTTAGTTTAAGAACAACGGCCAAGTAATTGGTATGAAACAAGTCAGTTAAAACACAACCCAATGATAAATTATAAAAAGGAAACCGTTTCCTAAAACTAAAGAAAAATATATATTAAGGCAGTTATTGGGTCTATGCCCTGACTTAATTCCTAAATCTGTCATTGAAATATAATCAAGTTGGTTTTCTCGATTTTCTCTATGAGATTAAGGTATATCCACTCACCTATGATGTCATAGGTGTTTGCAAAAACTGTTTTTAGTTTAAATTAATACCTGATACAACAATATCTTTTGGAGGAATGTTTTTCAATAGGTGTACTGATAAATATTGGAAAGTAAAAGAGTTTTTAAAATGCATATTTTCTTTATTTAGTCAATTATTCAATCTTTAAAAAATGCTGACAAGGGCAATGACTCCTTCTCAGGTTTGCATTTGCTTTATTGTACTTCTAATGTAAAATAGTTTCCCTGATAATCACAGTTCAAAAGTATCTTAAAAGTAGGAAGTATTTAAGAACATTTAGCTTCAGAATTATGCATTTTAACCAGTTTTAACATATTTTTCCTATTACTGTTTACAAAAAATGTGCGATTTTTTTGTTGACATATACTTCGTTTATTTATGTCTCCCATCTTAAATAATATGCGACCTATATATTTTTTGCAATGATTGAAAAAAAAGAATTATATTATATTACATGAAAATGAATGCAGTGTTTGTACTTTGAACCATTAGAATTGTGAGGGTGGAAAGACTTTAAGCCACTATCTTCGCTCAGAATTGTCGCCAAATAAATTCTATTGCTGAATTAAAAATGGGAAAAAAACCCACCTAACTACCCTTTTTTCCCAACGTATTGATAAATGGATTTTGATAATGATTAGGTTATTTTCCTCTGTAATTTGATTATTTCAGATAATCCTTTTTCATATGTCAAATGCTACACGTGAACATGTAAAGCAAAAATATGAATCAAATTATGAACACAATAATACTCCTGAGTCCTTTATAAAGTTAAGGCAGGTCCATACTTTTACGGATCCGGTTTTAATTTTACACACCAATATAAAATTTGATTATCCTTGTCTATTGAAATAAAATCTTTTTTGATGATTAAAAAAAATGTAACAAGTATATATTTGTTTATGTTAGTGTCACTGTGCACACAAAGCATTTAATGTACATTATTTATAGGAATAACCACTTTGCACTCTGTCCATAAGATCTATATGTAATTTAGTACATACACAGACAGAGAATTCTTAATTGCCGTTATGGACCTAAAGCATTTTAATTTTTTTTTAAAGTGGTTCTTGAGAAGAAGATTTTTTAAAAATGTCATTAATTTTTCACTAACAAACTTACTTGAGATCTATTTATCTTTAATTTTTAGCCTATATCATCTTTTTAAATTTACTTTTTTATAAGTTTTGCGAAGAACGATTGAAAAAAAATAGATATTCCAAAAATGGGGGTATAGGTGTTCAAAAGGCTGTTTTGTAAAATTTTTCTGGTCAACCATAATAAAGTATGTTTTTTTGCTAACCTTAGATATAATTCTAAATAATTGTAAAGAAAAAATAGCATATAAACATACAAGATTTTGAGGAATATTTAAATTAAAGATATTTTTAGCTTTTTCTCTGAAAGATTTTGACAGAATCAACATCAATTTTTTAGTGTTTTCAAATAGAAATTTCAAATATTTTCTTGACAAATGAATATTTATGATTTTCCTTAGTTTTAACCATAATTGGATGGGATTTGGTACATAGCTAAATAGAATATGATGTTACACTTCTATATGTTGAATTTTGGCTGTTGAATTCTTAGAGGTATATACTCCGAGACATGTTGCATGAAAATTAACCTGAAAAGATATGTTTTTTATGGGTGTTTTTGTTAGATTATGACTTATTCAAGATTTTCAAATTGAAAAATAAACAGTTTGACAGAAAATTCTGAAAGTACGGACCTACCTTAAATAAACGAATCATTTATTCCAGGTAAACGAAAATTGATCTTTGCAACCATATTATTGTGAAAGACAATCATTAAAGGCTGAGAAATACAAAGAGTATAATTTTTTGAACTGATTTTAAACATTCCTTATAATTATTTTGTTTTGGACAACACCCTTCAGATATCAAGGCGTTGGGGACTTTTGCCGTCCATATAAAGCAAGGGTTACCCTTTTAAGCGGGGCGCGCCGTCTTCTTACCTCAAAGCACCCAGAATTCCATATTGGATATCAGAGAAAGGACCTTGATGAAAGTAATTTGTTCCCTTTGAAATGAGGATAATAGATGTTTCATTTTTCCAACAGTTTATTTTTCATTTATCAAACAAGCATATCCATTTCAAAGTACAATATTTGGTGCCATACGATACTTTTCACTTAATTTTCCAGCATTTAAGAATTCGGTAGAGAACGTATTGCATGATAAGAGATAGTTTGGGAACCTAATATAATAGCATTTTAATAAATTGCATAATTTTCTATCTCAAAAATTTCAAATGAAATTTTCTTTTAATATAGATAGCAAATTTAAAACATCATCAGTGACTGAAAAAAGTGATACTTAATCCACATATAAAGAAATGGGAGAGTACATTTTAACTCATCGATTTCATAATAAAAGTACACTTTATGATATTTATTTCACATATAATAGTACAAACTCATGATGATTGTTAATTTTCTCTCAGATAAAAAAAAATCTACATTTGACATAAAAATCAAATATAAACAAACAATGGAAGTTTATCAATCATAGATTAAATTGGCATAAAAATTACATATTTATATATAACATATGTACAGAGAATTTTAAAGCATGCATGTACATTACCCGTCTACATTTTATGTATACGGTTTACAAATATTGCACATCATATCAAATATGTGTAACAGTTGATTTTCCTGATATTGTCATATTTATGTTTATGTAATAACAAGCAAATGCATGCACACAATTTATATTCAGAATTTCATTTACGAGACACATTTTTGACAATCAAAATTTAAAGTCAGAGTTTGCATAAGTATATCCCATAGTGAAATTGAGCAATGAATGATGTTCATTTAAAAAAGTATAAAGCGTGTTTTATTTGGTCTTTTAAAACTGCCCATGTATTGTCAATTTAGTCAGAGGATGCTTAGAAAAATAATGCACTGAGAAAGAATTAAATATGTAGAGATCACAAACAGATTCGAGCTGAAGAAAATCCATTAAACGATACAATTTAGAAGCGGAGCAAACACGGACCTCCAATCCATCAGAGGTGGGATCTGGTGTCATGAAAAGACTTTTCAATTTCTTTATTTACTTCTGCTTGAGTTATTTTTGGAGAGACTTTTTCAAATCCACTTTTCCTCACTCAGTAACCTCTCTACTGTATGTTACTTAGTAACATTAAATGTTTAATTTATTTAAAAAGAACGTATGAAATGATGTGATACAATATTGATTGCAAAACGATGATTAATATTATTTAAAAAAAGGTTTTAATTTAGTTTAGAAATGTCTGATATATATACATTTTCAATAAAAACATGAAAACTCAGAAAATTAAATAACAAATAATAATAAATATACAGAATTGACGAAAAATTATTGACATAATCGCCGACTCTTGGAATGAAATTCCTTATATACAAACAAAAGCACATTTCATGAATATTTTTCAACAGGGCAAACCAATATAACTATAACTAAAAAATTAATATTTTATTAACTTTTAGAAGAATATCCATATCTTCAACGTGTTTGCAATATTAATGCTGACATCAACATCAGTTGAAAACTTTCGGTTCCTTCTTGTTGGATAAGTTGGATAATCCACAATGTTGCCTTTAATACATATAAACTGTTTGTGTCTCAATACTGCTATTACCTACTATGGTTTTTTTTCTCAAGTTTTCTGTTTTCTGTAGAAAGGAACATCATCAGAATTAGAAATTATATTTCGTTGACAAACAGATGTTAGTGAATATAATTATAAATTGCTGAATAATATTCTATGTTGTAATTCTTTTTTACAAAAATGTAAATAAAGAGAAAATGCAAAATGTGAGTTTTGTGGAAATGAAAATAAAGATATCAAGCATCTTATTTTTGATCGGGATAATGTAAAACGTGTATGGAAAAAGTTGAATATTGTTATGAACTATGTTTTGCAATGGAAAGATACCGTTATAGGATTCTACTTGGAAATAAATTCAAGAATTCTCTTTTATAATATAATACTATAATATCATATTTGGCACATAAAATATATAAATTTGAAATGAAAAGCAGAATAGAAAATATTATACAAGAGAAGTCCATGTTAGAGAAATTCATTAGAGGTTCATTAGAAAAAGATATAGAATTCATGTTAAAATTTTCAAAAAATGTTTAAAGTCCCAGTTAAACTTCTAACAAATTTGTTATAATAAACTTATGGTTTGTTATGTTTGCTTTTATAGTGCTGGTTATCCTAAATACCAGGGTTAACTGGCAATTGCACTAGTCAAATTCTACCGCAATTTATTAAGAATACAAAAATATGTACCTTTTTCTTATCTTATTTTTTCTTTTTCGGCCTTTTCGACATCTTTTACCCCTCGATTTTCTACATTTTCTTCCTTTTCTCCTGTCCCATTTCTAGTGAAAAGTGAATGTCATTATGTCATTGATACTTTATTTTAATATTTAATTGAATCGTGTGCATCATTTCTGGACCAAATATACATAAAAAACTGGACCAAATACACATAAAAAACAACACAAACCTTAATTCTTTTTACCCATCGCTTTTGCCATTTCGCAGCCAGACAGTTATCCAAGAACAAAAACCTTTGCGTAACAGTGTCTTCATATCCAATGAGCAGATATGTACGATCTCTGACCAGCCTTGGGCAGACACACGTGGAATTGGTCCATAGATCGACTGTAGTATTCACCTTGATGTGGACTTTGCTCTCCTTCAGTACTTTCAGGACTTCGATTCTAGTGACAGTGTTAGCATTGTTGATGACACCTTGTTGTTTGATTTTCCCTTGAATTGCTAAAAGAAAACAATAATACAGATAAAAATGTGAAAAGTTTTGTTAGGCAGGAAAAATATACATGTATGTGCATTTTGATATTGAAATATAATCATTATATGCACAGTGGGGTAAGTACTAAAGCAGTAAGATCAAAAGAAAAGTAAGACCTCCTCAGCCGCATAATCTTGAAGATTTTAAAACAATTGATAGTTGGTGGCTAGACTTTAAAGCTTATTTGTCAATTTTTCGCTAAAACTCTTGAATTTAAATCCCTAGTGTTAAAATCATATTGATGATTATTTCCCAGGTCTCTCAAGGGGTCGCGTTCACACGAGCATTGGGATTCCACTAAATTCCCTCTGATTTTATCGTGGGGAGAAAACATTGCGTATCTCTAATCATTATTGATCATTGGTTCATAATGTCTTTTCAGAAAAGGGAAAGCGGTTTAAGGACAATGTTGATGTTAAATATTTGTGTGACTTGGCTAAACTCAAATACATCAAAAATGTGAATTAGAGAAAGAGCCATTGTGACTGTAAACCTTATTTTGACATTTTTCATTATGAGAATAAAAAAACATTACCTTTTAAATCCGGCAGGTATTTGAGAATTGCCTTTGATATGCATCTTATTTTGTCATGTGAGGCATGTTTATTAAAATACATGCTATCGCATTTATGTTATATTAAATGACCTTAAACAGATTAAGATGTTTTCTTACAAATTTTCTATCAATAGAAAGTAAAATTTGAAAGTCATTTTTACTTGGCTTCAATATATATATCAATGGTTCTAAAATTGTCTAAAATTATTGTTTCATTTACATAAGAAAAATACCATACATGAATATGCTAAACTTACCAAAATGAAAGCGCCCTTGTTTGAATTTCTTCCGTTTTGGTTTCGATGCTTTACGATTACATCTGCAAACTGAAATCGCAAGGAAGACGTTTAATTTTATTATAAGGGCACTAGTAATTATGGTAAAGGTATCAACACCATTTAATAATTTTTGTTGTCTAACGTCAACTTTTTTAAAGAAAATGAATAATACTTGATTGTGAATCTTTATTTTTTATTATAAGCTTACTGATTATCATGTACAAGTATTATTATCTATATCTTGATCTCTTATACAAGGAGAAGGAGTGCGTAGACTTTGCCTGTTGCCCAATCCTTACCGGATTATTCAATTAATAAATAAAAAGAATAAAAAAATTAAAGGATTCTTACAATGAAAGTTTGGATGCATATTTTATATGAATATTTCATACTAGATATAGAAATCATACTAGAATCAGGGAAATTAAGTATTAAGTCTTTAGAATGAATTAAGTTTACAACATTTATAGTCATTTTCACTTTTTTGTTTTGTGTTTTGACATTGTTGGATCCACATTTTCTCTGTACATATATACCATATATAAATCCTACCTTTTGGTCCAATCCCAGTGGGCGGGCGAGGATTCTGTATATCAGGATTAGCTCTGTCTACATAAAAAGGAATATTAATTAATTTACAATCTTATCTACTTTTACTTTCAACGCAGAATCAATGAAACATGAAAGCAAAACATTCGAAAGAAGAAAAGGGATGAAAGCAGATTCCGCTGTTAAACAAATATATTTTGGGCTATCTGTGTCTTCAAAGAAATACATTGCTGTGATGTGTTCGCAGAGAATGATTATTTGTAATGAATTCCACTGAACTTTCAAAATATTAAAGGGGTCGGTAAAAACTATTTGTTTTACAGGTATCGAATATACCTCGGCTAAAGCTTAAGTTTTGAAGTTTGTAATTTAAAAAGATGCCGCATATATCTTTATCAAAGGAAAAGGATAATGATGAAAAGGGAACAAATCTAAATTTCTCTTTTCCACAATTTTGTTGAAATTTTTGCTCAGTTGGGTTCCAAATTACGACAGATATATTTCAAAGGCACAGGAAGATATCAAGTGATATGAATGCAAAAATTGATGCTCAAAGCAGCATGAACTTGGGTGTAAGATTAATAATAATAAGTTCTGGAGAACAAGTGTCGCAACAGTTTTAGGAAAGATGAAACGATATCTGTTTTTAAAGATTATATAGAGTTCGAAGATTATTTAGTTTCTAACTAAATCTTTTCTAACGGAAGATTGCAAGATATGAAGTTTAAGTGACATCTAAGGCAGAAGTTTATGTGGACAAATACTTTTAGCTGAAATATGCATGGAATATAAGCAAGGCATTAAACTTGTAAAGTGGCATAATTAGTCACTTTGGTGCTCTTAATAACGGGGTATCGAGATAATCATCAGGTTAAGCATGAAGGAAACATTGGGTCGTTAAAACTCAATGACAGCCCCAGCGAAGAAAATAAACCCCATAAGTCTTAAAAACCTCAGAGAGAATTCTTTAAAGTGTGAACGAATGAAATTGATAGGAGTGAAAATTTGAACTTCAAAGATACCCCGAATTTATTCCCCCGCAACAATGGGAAGGCACAGAAACGAACCCGATGGGGACTAAATTGTTGATCGGATGGCGCACGAAGACTGTCGGTTCTAAAAACTTCAGAGGAACGGTCAATATTTAGACAGGCGCAGTGTTTGAGGTCGTCAAGAGAGATTGATGTCCGTCCTAGTGTTTTATTTGGAGTGACTCTATCGATAATGTAGGCTTCAATCAAGGGATTATCAGTTTTATGGAATATTTAATAACTGCGATCAAAGGCCCGATTAAAACACTTCTCACATACACAAACAGGCATGGTTTTAACTTTTAGTCGTTTTTCTTTTGCAGCCGTTGACATTCTATTTGACGGACAAATATATGAAGTCATAAAGTAAATATTTGGAAAGAAATGATGTTAAAAATGTTAGTTAGATTAAGGTAATTGAATGTATAGGTTGGAAGGATTGAAATATAAGTACTTAAGATTGTTTAACAAAATAAGATATTTATACAGATACATAATCTCCAATATTCGATGGAAGAAAACATGACAACTGCTATTATTGAAGGAAAATTATGAAAAACATATATCTGTATTAACCAGACTGCATATTTCCATGATCTATGGAATGATTTAGGGAAATAAGCAATGGATTGAATTGTCTTATTAACTGTTTTATTGAATTAATTATACTCACTTCCGGTCCCGTTACTTGTGATTTTGGTAGATTGAACAATAGCTGCTGGAGAAACACACACTCCCCGATCATATCGCGGAAGACGTGAACAGTCTAAATATTCCGGCCACGAAATATTGTGATAATTTACAATTCGCTCACACCCTGCACGTGCGCGCTCACACACGCTCCTGCACGGAGGAATAGGTGCATGTTGAAAGTTAACAGTACAAATTGGTGCATACATGGCACATAGAAAAAACAAAATGACGTCACTACAATTTTTGTCTACTAGCTGCTGAAACTGTTCTATGGCGAGTTTAGCGTTTTCTTGAGAACTGTGATGTAATAAATTGGGCATACGAGTCATATTGTACGGCATGTGTTGACACATGGGTATCTCTATGGGTTCACAGGTATCTGTTGAACGACTGTTAAATTTATAACACAGGGTAGGAGTTAAAATACTCAGCAACCACACCTTCCAACACATTCCAATTTTTTCTTTATTTTTCTTCATTTTTGAAAAATAAAAAAAGATATATTTTCCCCAAATTAAAATAAAGATGATCCAAAATTACATCTTCCTCTGAGAATTTGTAGACTCATGTATGAAATATATGTCCCGGTCAAATAGCGTTCTGGCTTTGGATCAGCGACACATGATGTTTAAATACTCCGAAACCAAGCGTGCATGGTATATTCAATCAAATGAAATGTAATGGAACTTTAATTAAAGGGCTGCACTTAAATTATAGAAGTTGGTTGTTCGTAGCCGTCAGTTTATTGTAAATTATGACTACACAATGCAATCAGGTAAGGAAAAAATCAGGGGGCGGTGCTAACTACCTTTGGCGTGTTATCTTCCAGTCGCTCACTTTTACAACAAATGAGAAATTCGTGTTATCACAAAAATATCAGCGAATAAACAAAACACGAAGAGAAAAGAAGTTTATTTTAACCTAGATAATATTAATAAAAAAAATTATCTATTATATATCTCAAAATAAACTGTTTTAAAAAGCAAGGGAAATCAAATATATACATTTATTGAATATAGTATATTGCATTTATGTTTTTCAATACCGGTATATGTTTAAAATTCCTTTGTAATTTAGATAGTTAAGACCGTGATATATTGAGTCAAAAAATTAAAAGAAAATTCATAAAAACTTGTATTGAGGAATTTGAGATTTTGACAATATTCTTTTAATATTTCTTTTCTTTATAAAATTATCATATATGATCTCTTCATCAATTTTCCTCATCATTTTATATCTCCATAGCATTCTCCAAAAAACGTGTACTAGTTTCTACAATAAATACTTTATTTTCTTTTTCAGAAAACACATGACTTGTTTTACTCTTATTTGAACGTTGTCGAGGTATGTAGTGAAACTTTATAAACCAGAAAAATAGAAAATTTAAAATAAACACTATATATATATATAAAGACGAAACTTTGTTTTACAGCTTTACAACGAATAAATTAAATTTTCTTAATCTGTTCAAAAAATTCTGAATCACGAGCCTTTATCATCTTTCAAAGTATTTCCGACATAAACAAAAATTAACTTGATTACCTTTTGAACGATTGTTGGCGTGCTATGTACATTAAGAAAAAACGTGCATTAAAACACGTGAAATATTCATTTGAAGAATTTCAGTTTTCTTTTAAAAATAGAAGATAATGTTCTGGGTTATTTTTTCTGTTATGAACAAAAGTTATGAAAGAATTATGTGTTTTCTGAACTGTCGATTGAAATTTAGAACTTACTAAATAAATAGATAAATTTGGAAAACGAGAACAATTTTTGAAAGGTCAGGTGAAAGTGGTGCTGAAGATATTAACAAGATCATTGTAGGAGATGGAGAACTAAATGTAATAGTGCATAGTGATTATGAATATATGACCTATTTTGACTTAAAGATTTTCAATGGTAAAACAAGAACACAATCCTTGAATAACTGTCACTTCAGAAAAACTATAACTTTTAAAGCCTTTCCTGGCTTGATCAAAATGAAAATTTTTATTCAGAAAAATACGTAGCAGTTATGAACAAAATCCAGCCAAAAAAAAAAAAAAAAAAAAAAAAAAAAAAAAGAAAACAACAGTAGGTGTGAAAATTTTCTCACAGATAAATTTCCATTCATATACATTTAAAGCTCACCTAGCAGTATTTACCATGTGCAGTGCGGCCACAATTTTTGGTCCTTTTGTAAGCCCTTCCTTTGAAGTCTCCTAAACATTTACTGCTTTATTCAAACCCAGCTCCGAAACCGCGCGATTGAATGTCATCTTTCTTCACCTGCAGTATCCATAATGGACCTAATTTTACCCTCAGCAGGATCCCTACAGTGTTGAGTTTAAGGGATAATTGGGGATACCCGCAAAGTATCAACTTGGGCTGTAGATTACACACAGGTATTTAAGTCGCACTTGAAAAACATGAATGAAGTATACAAATGATCCGAGTTGAACCCAGTACATCGGGAGCAGTCTGTATATATCTTTCTCCTATCAAGAAATATTTCATTTAATGGAGCAAGTGTTTTGTTCGTTCATACAAGAACTGAGAAAAATATAATGCACTTTTTTTTTATTTCATTTAAATTTCTAAAAGTTTAATTGAAATCATAATGTAATTTATTACAAAAAGACAAAAGCTGTGTTTAGCCAAAATCTGTTTAATACAAATTGTGTACAAAAAATTAAACCAAACTAGTCTTCAAATATTGAAAAATTAACGAAAAATAAAATTTCACTTTGTATTTTAGCAACAAACTATTCAATTTATTGTAAATTTTCATGATAAAGTATCTTATTATTTGTTTCCCTTTAAGAAATTATAATGATATATAATGGAGTTAAAAAAAATATCCCTTTTTGAGAGTAAACTTTGTGAAAGACCATGTTTGGACTTAATAACCATGATAGAGTGATTAAACCATCCAGGTTGGAATGCAAGATCTGACGTACATTAACAAAAGAGCGATAACTAAAACGCACAATTCTTGTATTTAGCAATTCTTTAAGTAGTCTTTCCTTTATACAGGTTACTTTATCATATATATCTTTTCCAAATTACGACTATACATTATGTTAATTACAATTATATAAATTTAATGTATATTTGACATGCTACATATTTTTTTAAAATCTGAGTTGCACAACAAATAGTTGACAGAGCGGCAAAAGATTCGGCGGTAAAACATATTTTTGCCTTGTGCAGTTTTTGGTAAATAGATCATTAGAATGGCATGTGAAACTCATAAGATTATTGTATCATATTGCATTAAGATATGACAAGCTTATAAATCAAAATCACATAATTTGAAATTGGCCAATGTTATCTATGTAGTGAGTATTAAATTAATGAAAAATTATAAGCATTTATAATGAATTAAAATCATGAAGTAAGGTTATCAATTCAAGAAATGTAGATATCAATCTTGATGTGATAACTCATTAAAAAAATTGTTTAAAATGAAACAGTTATGTTTGCAGCCCTTTTCTGATTTATGAAAAAAATGTCAAAATACATCTTCGATATTAGTTTTAGCAGATAAAAGATACCACAGAGTCTGACACATTTGTTGCATATTTGGATATTTTACATGAAAAAGACGTTTATGGTAATCTAACAACTAAGCTCTATGGTAAACGTGATAACTTTTACTTTTTAGTAGTCAACTTCCCTTACTTATGCATCAATATACCTTCATCACTGGCATACGGAGTTTATATATCTCATTTGATTCGATGCGCAAGAGCATGCTCTACGTATGAACAACTCCTAAAACGAGGCAAATTATTGGCAAACAAGTTGATGAAACAAGAATATCAACAGTCTCGTTTAAATTCATCATTTCGTAAATTCTATGGTCGATACAATGACATTGTCAGCAAATACAATTTATCATTGGGTCAAATGCTGACTGACGTTTTTCATACTAATTATATGCTAATTGTTAGTCCATTATTAATACACTGAACTGACGACGGATTTTTTCCCCGTTATTTCCCGATCATGAGAAGGAGCACACGGCGGTTGCTCACTCCTCACTTGATACCACCTCTGATGTTTTGGAGGTCTGTGTTTGCTCTTCTCCCAATTTCTATGGTTTAGCCTAATGGATTTTTGATCTTGAATACTGTTCGTTATCTCCATACGTTTCACTTGTATAAATACCAATCTATGGTTTTCTTATAAACCTTATCAAACAATGAAATAAATTGTCCATTTCACTTATAAATTGACGTATAATCTAATTAAAAGACAAAAAAGCCCGTTATATATGAGCAGTTTTATTAATTCAACATCATGAATATTTTTTCCTTTGAATAGTTAAAAAAGTAATATTTTCAAATTTTCAATAAGTGAAAATGAAAAAAATTAAAGAAGGTATGATTTTGGCTTTATTGTGTTCTAAAAATTTTATGTTTTCAAAAAGTTCTTAAACTTGTGTATTATTAGTTGAGGTTTTTTACTGTGAAAGATCGGGAAAGAATATGACATGAAAAAGTACCATTCTGGAAATATGATGTCATTAATTTGCTGCATTTCTCTATTTCAGACAGAAAAACACAGGCACTTGTTTCGTATACGGGATACCCCCTACTTACATTTACCACGAGGTACCTAACTCAATTTCAGGCACCCCCGCTCCAAGTTCGTATTTTGTGAATATACATGAATTAATCATTAATCTACTTTAAAATTACATCGTTCGCTTCTAAAGACTCTATTCTATTCAAAAATTACCGGTACCTCGATAGAAAGTAAGACAAAGTTACAGACTACTAATTTTACCCCTATTTCATTGACCTCTCAAGTAGTTCTAGTTTAAAAATAGAGGGTTTTTTTAAAAATTCTTTGGGGTGTTTAGGGGGTGGAATGATGTTATTTTTGGGCATAGCTGGAAAGGAGAGGGTTTGTAAAATATAAAATTGATAATATGTGAAATTTTGCACTTATGCACGTAGTACAAAGGATGTAAAGAGGCCAAGATTTACCCTTTCCCCGAGGAGAAAGTGAAAAAAACAGGGTAGGGGTTATTTGCGATTCCTTAGCAAGAACTTCATGCGATGAATTTTCCCGAGAGTCCGAAAAATTTTTGGACTTGGATTCTTCTTACTCTGTGCCAAGCTACAGGTGAGTTGAGCTGGTGTAATTTTTTAAATCATTTTTTATATATGAAGGAATGTATAGCAAAACAATTGGTAGTCTTTATCCACAACTTATAAGATACATCTATTTCCTATTGGAGTTATGGATGTAGGATAAGACCAGAGGCTTCCGAGTATTCCAATCCGAGGTCTCTGGTTGAATCCTTAAACTGTAACCCCAACCTGAACTAGAAGTAACCTCAAGGAAAGTCTTAAAATCAACTGGAGGAATTAATACGTAGTTTATAATAAAGAAACTCGATCAGAGATCTAGCTAGACTTCTAAAACGTTGTTATTGACAAGTAAAAAGTCCCTTGAAGCGAACGATGTCATTTTAAAGTAGGTTAATGATTGATTTATTAACAAAATACGAGTTTGAAGTGGGAGTGCCTGAAAATGAGTTAGGTAACTTGTGGTAAATATAAGTAGGGGTATCCCGAATACGAAACAAGTACCTGTGCAGAAAAAAGCCTCAAAATGACCCATTTCAAGGGGAATTTTCCTTAAAAAAAATAGTGTCCACAGCCGTCGCCCACTTTAATATATGTATATCTTGTGCAAAATACAATTACAATGAAAAATCACATATCTCAAAATCTTTGTAGGCGATGCCTGTGTACAATATTTTCTGAAAGTAAATTCCATTGAAAATCGGTGTCTTCTACAACATTTTAAGAAAATAGGGAAAATGCACATGTTTATTACGTCACAATAAGCATTTAGAAATGCATGTGAGAAAAATAATTTGTATAATTTTTATGCATGGAATTTCAATGATTCAGAATACATAAGTTTTCATTTTTTCACCATTTTCATTTTTAAGAAAATCACAGGGCAAGATTTGTATTGAAACTGTACCTTCTTCTTTCATGAAAGACGTACAGCATAAACCATTGGATAAAAGTATGTACGTAAAAAAGGTAAATTATCAAACAATAAATAGATTTTTTAAAACAATTTTGAACAAAAACAAAATCAATAACAGCTTAACAAATTAAACGTATACATAACAGTAACATATATTTTAGTAAAAGTAACTGATATACACATTAAACATACTTTAAATTTACATTTCAAATATAAATATATAAATATTTAAATAGATATAATCATATTTGCAAGATATGTGAACATTGCAGCAAGTCAAAGAGGGAAAATATGAATATTAGTATTTTTATCCTTCATATTATGTTTATATCTTAAAACTTACAGTTTGACTTTTGTATAATTACTTCTTGAATTTAATATAATGTGCAATTTTAACGAAAACATTGAGTTAATATGAAATTATATTGTCCAAATGATATTGTACAATTCATCAATAACTTTCCCCTCTCTTTCACTTTCACGCCAAAGCTAAAGAATTGCTCAACATTTAAATTCTTAATAAAGTCAAATATATAATCAAATATCAGGTATAAGTATATTTTGCTTTATCTCGAATTTATGCTTCTGGATAAATAAGTCATGTCTGACACTATATATCAAATGAAAAATGGAGATCACGAAAAATATTCAAGCTTATAAATTCATTCAAACAATACAGATCAGGAGCAAAGCAAACATCATATGTTGGATCATGTGCCCAATATAAATTATGCAATTTAAAAAAAAATGTAACAGACCTATCTTCAAACGTAATCATGTAAATGCTCAAAAGCATCAGAAATAATCCCATAAGTAAGAAAAAATAAACTGCAACTGAATATCTTTTTAAAAAGAATGTTTTGTATTACTGGCAATACATGGGCTCCAACAACCAACGATTTGGACATCCAGTACAAATAAAGGTGAATGTTTTAAAGTTGATTAAAATTTTTCTTTAACACAAATAAATGAAATATCTTTCTTCATTTACTTGAAGCTGGCATTTATTTTAAAAATAAGTTATTTTAATAATGATAAACTGTCATGGTTTTTCAGCAAAATGTCATTCAAAATTGAGTAACTTTCCCTTTTCTGAGATTTTCTGTAAATCATCTGAAGAAATAGAAGGTACTTTGAAATACCTTTCTTCCACTGTTTTCCACTTTTTAACGGTGTCTCCTCGCTTCATATCATCCTCAATTTTCAAGGACTTGATTTGCAAAATGGGAAAGTACACCTCATTGTAAAGAGCAATTACTCCAAGTTTCTCCCTACAATCCTTGCATTCCAATGTTCCGAGGCCCATTTGAATATCGTCTCCTTTATATCCAACCTTTTTATTTTTCTTGCAGAAAACTCGATTTTTGAAGTCCCCATTTATGCATGCATAATGACTACCCAATTTTCTCATTTCGCTGGACAGACATAGAAACGTCTTGCATTTCATGCATCTGAAAATAAATGTATAGTTATACTCAAGTGAATTTTTATCATATATTGAGGAAGCGCACGTTTCTCCCGCTATATAGATATGGTGATCAGCTCCTTTTTCCTAGCATTAAAGTTCAAATAGCAATGACAAAATATCAACAGATATCAAGATTGCGATAGAATTAGATAATTATTTAACAGAAAATGACAATAAATAAAAACTTTTAATTCCATTTTGTTCATGAACGGCTAGCAAAGGGATTTTGTTAGATCACGATTTAAACCAAATTTAAAGAGCATTCTTTTGTTTTCACTCTTAAGGTATTCAATGTATAATGAAGGGATTTTGAACGATTTTATATAATTTTAAACTAGTCAAAAACGCATTGCTAGACAGCAATAAAAGTGAAATGAACAAAATTCACAAGACTAATGGCATGTAAGGAGACAGTCATTTTGCAAGTTTAAAGTTTTTTAAAGAGTTATCTGCCATTAATGAAGAGAAGAAAATTTTTGATTTCTCAAAATTTCTACGGTAAATAATTTATTTTATTTCATACTTTAATAAAGAGGGAGTTTTTACATATTTTCACCAAGAGATTTGTATAAAATTCAAATTACTTTATACAATATCTGATAAAAACATGCACTGCCCATAGACTTCAATGTAAAATTTAAGGTGCATTAATTGAACAATAATCAACATTTTGTAAATTCCTTTGGTGGAGCATTTTTATTTGATAACATCCTCAAAATGCTACCATGATTACAAATATCGTATCATTCGTTTATTAGGTGCAAAATCTGGCCGTTATACATTGATTGATTGATTCTATATTGTTTAACGTCCCTCTCAAGAATTATTCACTCATATGGAGACGCCACCACTTGCCGATGGAGACCTGCAAATTTTGTCCTATACTCGGCACTCAGGGTCATTGAGCAGGGAGGAATCTTTTTCGTACCAGCACCTACTGCGACACGGGACCTCGGTTTTCACGTTCTCACTCGAAGGACCGGTCTCCAGGTCCCACAGTGGGATTCGAACCCGTGACGTAAGGATAAACTCCTTACTGCGAGACTCTAGAGCAGACCCTCTAACCACTGCGCACGCGGGCGACGAATACATTAACATATATACAAGTATTACTAAGGATTTAATCCTAATACTAGTCTTAGAAGTTTATCTATGCAAAGATCTTAAGAGGATGGAGTTCAGTACATAGACTGGACAATTTCTTATTTTCAGTATCTTTGATATTCAATTTATTGGCTTACTACCTGAGTGCATGCTGTCCGCTAGGGGTTTCTCTTATGTCGTTGTTGGAAGCAGCAGCTTCTCGTTGCATCTTTGCCCGACGTTGTAGCTCTCTTTTCCCTCGTTGAAATCCTTCATTATTGGCCTCTGTTTCCTTCTGAACTATTGCCATTGCCTCATCCATCATTGGTCCTTTCTCAGAATTAACCCACTCCCTCTCCGCGACACATTTATCCTCCGAGGCCAGAATAAAAAATCTGCTGTTATCAGCACGCCCGCGTCCTAAGATAGTGTGAAAGTAAAGTAGGAATAAATTATAACGATCATAAGTTTTATGAATCAAAAGTGTCTATTAATATATAATGACTAAAGCACAGATATCTGTGTGGATCAATCATGAAATTATTTTAATCTAATTTTGAGTTATAATGTACTACAATACAAAAGGCAAAAACGAATAATATTTATGATTTGCATTTTCAAATGATTTCTATAATACCTTTGGCTTGAATCTGCGAGATTGGATTTCCAGCGTAATCATATCTTACAACAAGGTTACATTCCTTGATGTCCAATCCCTCTTCAGCAATTGTTGTGGCCACGATCAATTTGAAATCACCTTTCCTGAACAACTCAATGGTATCTTTCTGCTTATTTTTCGTCATTCCTAAACCAAATTTGTTCATTTGAATTTTAGTAAAAGATCTAAGGATTTTCAATGAAAAGAGTTATGGTTCCCAATATTACGATGATTATGTATATTTTGATATATTTATGACTGGGATCTCTGAAACTGAATCTCTATAATGAGATCTCACCTCCTTCAGACCTTTTTGCGTTAGATCCTGTGCATGTTTTTGCCTTTATATTTTTCAGTTCATCATCAGTGCTCATCCAGGATACGAGGATTTCTGACAGCTGACGTGTGCGAACAAATATTATCCCCCTCATATTTGGTTCAGTCCGATATGTGTCTATTATGATGTCTTTCAACGTCAATAAAAGGGGATTTTCTTCAGTCTTTCTTCTATCTTTTGCGATTACCTGTAGGTCGCTTTTTTCATCTACAATTGAAGTACTGATCATAATTATAACAAAGACGCTTTATAAATTATAAATACTCATTTAAGATACAATGATTACATAACTGTAAAACATGGAATCAATTACAAGCAAAAATCATTTTAACAATTTTTTTTACATAATAATATATAAAATATAATCTTAAATGAAACTTAATACTTTTATACCTCTGCTTCGAAAGAGACTGTATTATACTGTTTTACACTTGATGAAAATGTTTTCGAAACTATCCATTTAATCTTCGATTTCAAACTTTTACTTTAACCTGATAAGGCTACTGCGTGAATTTAAAAAAATCTTTAAAGAGTTTGACTATCGTAAAAATGGCAAAACATTTAGGCTTTATTTTATTTACATCAGAAAGAATGAAAAATCAGCAGCTTACTTTCAAATAATTCTTTGAGATGTTGTTCTATTTCACAAGATGGATTTGGTAATTCCTCAATTTTTCCTGTGATAGTATCCAGGGAATCACTTGCCCTGACATACGAGTGCATTATCAAGCCATTATTGTAAATCTGAGAAATGTCAACATTTAAAACATTTTATTCAAACGATAAAACAACATATACAATGTACGAGGATTTTGAATTACTTCTTGATATGTAAAATATTTTTGGAGTACGATAAAATGTAACCTCCAAGTATTTCCGAGCTGTGTAAAGCGAACGGCTCAGGGTAGTATCTGTTATTTGTGCCACAGCTTTAAAAAGAACATTTTGAAGCCACTGGGTATATTGTTCACTACCCTTCTTTCTTGGAGGATCCAGTGCATTTCTATCTTCAATATCTGTATTTAAAACATAAAGAGAAAAGAAAAAGAAATAACTCTCTCTCTCTCTCTTGACTTCTAACCATATACCACTTGCACAATGATTGTACACACTTCGTATGTGTACCTCTTGTATTTAGACGAAGTTGAATTGTTCCTTAGAAACAATGGTTTCTTATTGTACATTAGATTATCTGGTAGACAGCTTGTGTAATTAGTAGGTCGTGAGGTCAAATCACGTCCGCAACAAATCTGATAAGATTTTTTTTTTAAATTTGCCAGAATGTGACTGTGTGATTTTCCTCCATCTCCTCTTCGTCACACCTACTCTCACTGCGTATATGGTCGGCTGTCGGTTACATTTTGACAAAATGTTTATATGTGCCGATATGAGCCACATTACCCTTGCAGAATGAGTTACAAAGTGCTCCTGACATATTGCTGTCGTCAATGAATAGTATAGGTAGTTATGGTATTGTAGACACATATTGTTGCCGGTGTAAAGACGAATAATGACCCTCATCGAATAATGACCGGGGGTCATTTTTCAACGACAAAAAATGACCCCCTACCCGTAGAAAAAAATCATTTTTTGTAGAAAAAGTGTTCTAGGGGTCATTATTTTATATGTTAGTCCTATAAAAAAATTGACCCCCATTGAAAAATGACACCCTTTAAAGTGAAAAGAGATTCTTTGATTGTCAAGTAAATAAAATTTCTTTTTAATATTCCTCCTTATAGTGTGTGCTTAAAGAATGATATTCCACTTGTTTTTAGAAATCAAACCATGCAACAATCAGGTTCCAATACTCTTTAATAGAAAAATTATTTTTTCCTTCATTTCAACTTTTAGCTTGTAAAAGTTTGGCAAATCCTATTTGACAATGAAAGAGGAGGAAATTTTGACCCCCCCCCCCCCAAAAAAAAAAAAAAACAAAAAAAAAACGTTAAATCAAAACAAAACAAAACAAAACAAAAAAAAATAAATAAATGAAAAGCAAAAATATAAATTAAACTCTATACCTTTCAATAATACTGAAAGAGGCTCTAGATAAAATATTGAAATGAAGTTAAGCCTTCACACAAGTTCTATCATATCATAATTTACTTCGCCATGATTAAAGCATACTTTAAATGTTGGTGTGGGTATACTTGAAAGTATTGTGGCAAAGTAACAGTTGAAAATTAGTAGAATAGTATATTATTTTCAGCTTATTTTTAGTCCCTCCTTATAGAAAAAAAGGTAGGGTAGTTTTTTTTGGTTGCTTTTGTTGATAATCGACTTCCTTCTAAATAAGTAAGGGCTAGGGGTGGGTATATATAACACCTAAAAATATGCTCTGTAAAGCTATGGGCTAGTGTAAAATACACATTTAAATGCAAAAACTATACATGTAGACATAACCTTTTGATTTAGCACACATTATTCATTACATTTCTTAATTTTTGTTTTACTCCACGATTTTACCCAGTTCTGAATATATTTTTCAGAAAATTTAAAGCTGATTTCAATAGACCTAACGGATTGCGCTGTTTGTGACGTGCTAACGCTTTGCTTGTCGAGAGGTTTAAATACTACGTCACATTGTCAACACATCAAAGAAAGTAGCCGAGATCGCTTCTCTCCCAAGCTAAAGTCGGTCAGCTGCAACATACACATCGCCAACGTTAAACGGTTTACAGAAGGGGACAGACAGCACAAATCTTATTAAACAGTTGAAAAAGAGCATTACTTATATTATATGCATTTTTTAATCAATAAAATTTGAGCGTTTCCCCCAGCCTTCCCTCTTTACCATTTCTTTCGAATATATGCATAGAGAGGGGGCTCTATTTTTCAGCAGTATTTTGTACTAAATTGCAATAATCTCAGAATGCATGGCTTGGATTGATACGCGTAACTAATAAATGCAGTGATCAATGACTTACGCACTGAATGATTTTTATACATGTACGCAAATATGCAAAGATAAAGTTTGCAATAGAATGAAATAGTCGACCAATTTAAAGCCGCTTGGTCCGATTCTTATCGCTAAAAAATATATTCGTTTTTCTTCTTGAAAAATAATTATCCATAAATTATTTCAATGTTTGTAAAATTATATCCCCAAAGTCTTTTTCTTTTTAAAGATATCAAAATTCAAAAGTTAAAAAAAAAAATTGTTAGGTCACACAAAAAATTATCCTTTGTTTACATTGCGTGAAATCACCTTCAAAAAGTAAATTTATCGCTTACATGTATAACCCTTGAAGAACAAACCCGAGCATTTTTTCAACAACAAAGTGTACACTAGCAATATTCTAGCCCTCGATACTAAACTCCTTTTTTAAAAAAACTTTAAAAATATCTGATTTTTCCTTTATTCTGTAAATATGCATATTAATATAAAAATTACTATGGATTTTATTCAGTTAATTTCTGAATTTTTAAAAGATATATCATACCTTAGGATTCTACAAATGGAAAACAAATACTCGGGTTTGAATTCTCTTCATAATTAGATGTAACCGATAAAAGTATTTTTTTCAAAGGTGACTTCAAAACAGACCTTAACTTCCCATCAGGAACTGCTGTTTGTCAACAAGGTTTTTCGTCTATGTTTTCCATGTAAAGATTGTTGTAATAAACTATTAAATCAATTTTATAATTAATTTTTATATATTATCTATGTAATGACATACTTTAATTGTTTAAGATAATATGTGCCTGTTTCGGATGAAGCGGCTTTAAATATTCGTAACGGACTGAAAAAAAAATCATAAAATGCTTTCATTGATTAATTCAGGTTTTAAAGTCATTTATCTATGCTGGTAATATTCAAAGAAATCGAGATCGGGACTGTCTAGTCCCCTTTTTATACACAACAACCTCTCGACAAGAAAATATGAAAATCAGAACAAACATTTTCTTTTTTGTAACGTCTTCTTTATACTGTATCATAATATGAAAAGTTAATTGAAGATCATTTCTTTTTATGTCCCTGTAATCGAAGATTCGGGGGTATATAGTTTTATCGTGTCCGTCTGTATGTCTGTCTGTCTATCTGGCGGTCTGTTTCTCTGCAAAAACTTTAATCTTTACCATATCTTTTCATTTATTGTAGCTATGTCTTTAATATTCAATATGTGTACATTCCTTGTGACAAGACCTTACTTTGGGTACCACCAAATTTGACCTTTTGACCTTCACCTTGGAGTTTGTCCCATTTTACACAAAAATGCCAAATTTTTAATTTACTTTGGCTATAAATTTTACACGGTAGATACTAGTACTCTCATACTTCACAAATGTAATCCTTGTTACATTAAACCTTTCTTCAGGAACCATCAACTTTGATCCTTTGACCTTTGAGTTGACCTACCTTTCAAACATTTATCCTTAGCCATTAATTTTGAACAAGTGGTGCTAGGGCTTTCCTATTTTGCAATTGTATTTCTTGTGAGAAAACCCTACTTTGGGTACCATTATATTCAAATTCCCTTTAAGGATGACGTTTACTCAGGTTTCAGAAAACAAAAAGGAAATTTTATTTCTAAAGTATGATATGTTAAATCAAAATTTGTTCTAAATGGATAAAATAAGCAAGTTTTAAATCAGTATCAATTTAAAAATTAAATATTTTATTATTTAAAGAAAATACACAGGAACAAAAGTCAATGTATGATAATGATGAATTTCGGACTAAATTTTTCATTTTTCATTTTTGACGTCAAAAATTTTATTTCTTGCAATATTAATCACAAAGTAAAGATTAAATATATTTTTTAATATCATTTTGCAAATCTTATATGTGTTAAAGCTCATAAATTATTTCAAATAGTTAAATGCTGTGAAATAAAGAAATTCAAAAATACATACATAAACCATTCAAGACAACATATCTCAATAATTTGATCATTGACCCCATATAATATTAATACCATGACAATTAGGGCAACAAAAGTAATTTGAGGCTATAAATAGTTTAGAGTTCTTATCAGTCAGATTTTTGTAATATTCGATTAAAAATGGGAAAAAATATAAATATGACAGAGGAAATTCGGAATGTAATCATTATCACATTAATGGCCCAAACTCCGATCGTTTCATTATATGAAGCACCGCTGTTCCATTGCTATAATATTTCATTGTTTAGAGAGTTTAGTTGCTTGTAATATTTTGTGTGTATAGAAAAAAATTGGGCTTAACGTGAAAAATTGAGGTATTTCCCGAGAAATACTCAGGGGCCACTGGCATGAAAAGTAGGTCATTGCCCGATTTATTTGAAATTTAAATTTAATACAAGAATCGAAGGTGTGCAATGTGAAATAGGTGGTTTTTCGTTCTTATCAGTGGAATTTTTGGTCATCTGAGTAAAGGTATACCTTAAGAAAAGTTTAATCTTCCCTCTATGTTGCCATACAGGGGCATAGCGCTAGCTGTTTTACAAAATTAATACATCTTTTTATATATTACTATAAGAGAAGTTGCGAATAACAGATGGATACCCCAAAGCGTAACAGACGGACAGACATCCCAATCACTATATACCCTCCCGCTTTTCAAGCGGAGGATATAATAATATATGACAGGAGCCTACGATGATTTCCATCATCGAAAAACAATGTTTACCCAACCCTTTAGGCTAGATAAATCTTTACTCCTTTAGATTCTGAATCATCGCATTGACCTTAAAATATAGCCTTTATCGTATGCTATGAGATCAACATATCATTTTAATCCAAATAAGCCCAGGTGAGCATTTTGGCCAATATGCTTCTTTATCTAATTTTTTGGCCCCCTAAAAATTTCAGCTTTAATCAACAGGGAGTCATTTTTCTACGGGGGTCATTTTTCTTCACTTGGGTTCTGCAAATTTTGAGGGAAGTGACACATTTTCTACGGGCAAAAGGGTCATTTTTCTACGTCGAATAATGACCGGGGGTCATTTTTCGCTGTCGAAAAATGACCCCCGGTCATTATTCGATGGGGGTCATTATTCGTCTTTACACCGGCGAAGGTTGTCCTCATTTTTTCGCAGCCATTGATTTTGTACACATCAGTTAGTTTAACCCACTTTCGTTATTCGGATATTTCCAAGGGATAGTTTATTTTAAGTTTGGTTCTTCCAAACCCTTTTCTCTTTTATACATTGTAACGGACATTCAGTGTATAAAAGGGCTATAATCGGGTTTATACTAGCATTCCTTTTATAGAGATTTACATTTTCACAAAACTCTCTAATGCTTGGTACTTTCTCAGCTAAATTTTGCCTACCCTGAGTCAACATGTTTAAACATACAACGTTTTCCTTCGTTTTATTTCATTTTACTCTCAATTTCTCTCACTCCCTTTGGGTATTTTTAATTATAATTTTGTCGTATGAGACGGATTTATTTTATGAAGAAATATTTGCAATAGGCAAATGATCGGTAAGCTCTCTCTCTGTGTTTGTGTTTGTGTGTGTGAGGGTGTGTGTGTGTGTGTGAGTGAGAGGGTGTGTGTGTGTGTGAGAGAGAGAGAGAGAGAAAGAGAGAGAGTGTGTGTGTGAGGGGTGTGTTTGAGAGAGAGGGTGAGTGTGTGTGAGGGCACATTCACAATGTATGATAAATCTGTAACATTACCCTCCACTTCTCTCAAATAATTCTCAGTATTGGTCATCAAGGAAATGATCCTTACTCCAAAGTCATCTTTCTTTCGTGTTGGAACTCTAACAATAGCTGGAAAAGAATTTGATCCATTTTGAATACATTGATCGAAATGTGAAAGATTTGAGATAATTTGAAACTGATGCTGATAAATGACAAATCCAGTTCATTTTTTATGATGTAATTCTGATAACAGAAACATTAAATTTTTGCTGTCCATGTATACAGCTTAAATGTTGAATTAAACATCAAACACTTACACTGATCTGGAGAATTGATTTTTGCTGCCAATTCGTCTTTGAATATTTGGACAGATACGAGGACATCGGCGTCCAAATTAGCCATCATAGATTTTACATGATTTACAGTTTGTTCGGTCGTTTTAGCATTGCCAACTCCAATGGAAGCAGTTAAGCCAACGATCTGTGGAAATATATTCTTATTACATATTATTTTTTTTCTACAGTTTAAAGTATACAAATAGCATCAAATATGAAGAAAAATAACTGAAATTGAACCTGCGGGAGAATTTTCTGTTCATTACTGTTATCCAAGCCACCTAGCATTTTATCAAAGTAAGGAACCATAGTCTTGTAAAAAGCATGACCACCGTAACAATGGTGACATTCGTCGAAAATAATAAGTGTAAATGACTCAATGCTAAGATCTTCTTTATCCATTGCATTGACGAGCATCTGAGCTGTTACCACGAAGATGTCATACCTTAAAGATAAATAAAGCTTGTAGAAAAGTATATAAGGGCTTATTAGCATACACTCGCTACCTTTAAAAAATCATTTGATTTATAATCATTTATATATGAATGTAATAGTTTACTGTGGAAGAAGGGCAGACAGCTTTGTAAATTCTTCATCACGCATTGTGTCCCCTGATATAACCTTCAACCTGCAGGCGACGTAGCGTTTAATTGCATCGGACTGTTGCTTGGCTAAGTTGTTTTTGTCCACAACAAAAGCAATTTTTTTGACTTTATGCTTCAGGGTTGCTTGGAGATGATGCTAAGACCATAATGATATATGAGATTTGAATGTTTTAAAATCACAATATATTACAACAACAAGTCGAATAGGCTAACGCTTCATTAACACAAAAGGAAGTTTTACTGTAAAATGACTCTAAAATTATTACATTAAACGATATTTCATGTTATATCTTGCTTACTAGTATTTTCTAACAGGTTGAAATTATCTGAGAATAACATAAACAGTAGAGTTAATGTTAACTGTGTGTACCTGGATAATTTTTACTGCTACAATAGTTTTCCCACTACCAGTTGGGGCTATGATAATGCAGTTTTTTCCTTTCTGCGCAGGTTCCGCTAATTCATTCTGATACTTTCGATCTTCATAAGACTCCAGAGTTACTTTATCTTCTAAGGACGCCGATTCTACACAAAAATTAAAACAAATGGTTGTTTTTAAATGGGTTTTTAAATTAATAACTTTGTTCAAATTCACCTACAAAAAGTCTTACCTAGCGTGCTCTCTGCCTCTGATTTACTTGAACAAACAGTTTTCAAATCGGTCTCGTTCTCACTACTGATGTTCGTTATATTGTGTATTTCAATATATTTTTCCTTTGTTTCCTCTGTATCATTTTTTTCTTGTATTTTATCAGTGGATGTTATTTCTTCAATGGATTTTGAATCTCTAGCATACAACAGCGAGCTCAAGCCGAGCGATGGTGGGAGTTTATATTCTTCATTGTCAGAGACGCATTGAACTGGTTTAGTGTATTTCTCTCTCTGTGCTGGAATACCTGTTCAAATTAAACATATATACGCAACGATAGGTTGTTATTGTTTTAATATTGTAATTAGTTAGAATTTATAAAGTAAATTCTTTATTAAAAAGGATGCAATGATTTATTATTTACCAAATGGACAGTGTTGGCTGGTTTCAGTGCTTTCTCTTATCCCCTTCGTTTTCTCCCATTCTGTAAAAAAAAATAATGGAAAACTTGATACCTTAAAGATATTACGGGTGCATATCATCATATTAGAACTCATTTACCTTTCACAAACTCTTCGTCAATCTCTTCTGCAATATTCTTGTAGTTTTGTTTGCACAGCACACCTAAGAATGAGTGGTACCAATTTTCTTTTTTTCTCCATATCCTGTCTAGAAGGACAATTATTGCCGCCATATTTCCATTTCTATTTGATTCAGTATTTATATGTTCTCTATCTGAAAACGTTATGATCCCTTGGGATACCAGGTCTGGCAACAAATCAGAAGGATCCAGGTTTTCAACAAGCTTCATTGTATATGGTTGCAGAATTTTTCGAAACTTCTCATAAGCATCTCTTTTCACTTCTTCCCCTCGTAAAGCTTTGGCTACATATTCATAACCTTAAAAGCAAACGAAAATAATAATGTAAATATAAAATAGATCATAAAATTGATGGTTGAAAATTGATTTTGTCGAACATTTTCTTGAAATATACAATGTATAAACATTACAGTGTTCTTTTAGTTTTTGATTTCTGAACAGATTATATACGAATCAAGAAAATATAGTAGTTTATAAATATATATTGTTAAATAAAGAACAACAACAATGAAAAAAAATGAAATACCCATTTTCTCTACAATGTTAACAAATATCGTCCACTTATTTATATTGTCGCTTGCATGTATGGCACACAGCAGATCTCCCATGGCAGTCGTAGACCCTACATTTTCTCCCTGTTGAATTATTCTTTCTTTTTGTCCTAAGTTAAAAATGTATATTTCTTTGATCTTCAAATCGAAAATTTTACAAAATAGAGAGACAGGTGTAATGGATATTATTATTCGACAATCATAGGTTACAATTTATCTGAAATGTAGATGTTACAATGATCTATAATGTATTATGTAGAACCAGTATGGTAAATAATCATAATTCACCCACTGGATAAAAAAAGATAATGTTACATATAAACACACATGAATTAAACAATAATCATAAATAGGTATTTATATTTATTACTCTATCTGTGATGAACACTTGGGGGGGGGGGTCACCTTAACTTTAATTAATTTTAAATAAAATTGCAATTTTAAATGTCATACGTTACAAAGAATCACTTGGTTTGCAAATTTCATTACTTTATAATATCTTTTGAAGTTTGTTTTTAAAAGTCAACAACAAAATGTTTTATGAATAAAGAGTGTCATCAACATCTAAAAATTAGTGAGGAAGGCGAAATTTACGGAAATCACAGAATGTTTTCCAAAATAAATTCTGTAAAGCAGAGATGAAAATTACACTAAAAAGAATAGTGGTGTGAAAAAAAATCATATATACAAGTATTTGCGTGAACATTTCTAATATAATTACTTGTATGATCAGAAAGTTTTTTTTCTCATGTGTTTGCATGATTAATCTTGACAGAGCAGTAGAAATTGTCATCAAGAATTTTATCAACAATATGGAGGATGGAAAGATAGAATGTCCTAGAAAACCTAGCTTTGATGTATAAAGGCAGTGGTATTATAATGATGCCTGCTTTCAAATGGAGATAATGTAGCTAAATGTATATATAAAAGTGGGTAAAATACTATATTTAACAACCTTACCTAGGGAATCTGTCCCCCGCTCCAGGGAAAAAGAAGAGCATGAGATGGGGATGGTGGGGTGGGGGGACTTTAAGATGGACGGGCTGGGCAATAGGGAGTTTTGGAATAAGGTGTTATTGCAATAGCTCAAAATATTTTTGAGATAAATTGCACACGAAAACAAGTTTTACAGAAAAACTGAATGTGAGGAATTATGACATTTGATCTAAAAAAATAAAAATAGGGGGCTTCTTTAGGCCATAAGGAGTTGATATAAAATTTCCTTTGCGAAGCTTTTAGGCTTCTTCAGATATCAAGCAGAAACGAAAGTGTCACAGACAGAAAGACAGACGGAAGGACTGACGGAGAGAAAAACTTCAATGAATATCCCTCACTTTCAGTGAAAGCAGGGGACAAAACTCTGATTAAGAAACGGGGTTAGAAAGTACTTTTTATGTCATCTTATTACGTCGACAAGAGATGTTTTTCATACACAATCGAGTTTTCCCTATTTAAGTTTCCATAAAGAATTACAATGAAATATATAAAGATAACGAACACTATTCAAGCTCAAAAGTCCATTAAAACAATGCATATTAGGATCACAGCAAATACGAAAAAAATGATAAATTGTATTATCATACGTGTTTTGATAACGCCATGCAGATAATGTACGAAATCGTTGACTTTCAAAGCCCGAACAATGAGTGGTTTGTACAGATTAACCAGTGTGGGTATTTCAGGACAATCAAGTCGACACTTGATGCTAGGCATGTAATCTATAGAACTCTCTGGTCCAGAAGCCGAATTTTCCTGTCCTGCTGTAGTCGTCTCCTCCATTGTATATATGTCTTCTGATTCTGTGAAAAGAGAAGAAATAGAGGTTTTTACACAGAGACACAAGTGCAATATATAAATACATGTATATAAGTAGTTCTTTGTAGATAGGTTATCCTCTTTACATTCAAATGTATGGATTAGGCCTATTTAATATTGGCATTATTAGTGAGGGTGCCGAGATCGCTAAAATTGAATATCGGTAAAAATCATTTGTGTTTTGTATAGAATGGCTTCTTTATTGAGCATTTAAAAATCGCCAAAATTACATTTCGCTAAAAATAAAAACTCATTTTTTAAGGATTAATAAATTAGCCTCTTGCAAAAATTTTCAAACAATACCATAACCTAGAAAACGGAAAATTTTCTCTCCTTTCTCCCTTTCTCCTCTCCTTTCTCTCTCTTCACTGAAAAATCACACCGCGAAGAGCTTTACTTACTTTGAAATATTGAAATTTTATCTCTCCATTGCACAATGTCAATCTCCCTAAAATTAATATTCCTAGTTCTTTGTCTAACAAGATACCTTTCAATACTGCCACTGAAAAATAGATTACTTTATTTATAATGTAATATTATTGACAATAATATGTTTTATGCATACATATGTAATTTACCATTTTCTGTGGTTAGAATGTAGTGATTTTAGTATATTTCATGTATATATCAGGTTTCAGAGCTAGGACGTTATGTAATGCATAGTCTCAGGTTTTGGGGCTTTGCGTTGATTAGTTGTGAGCTAACGTCGGATATATCACGTGATTGTTATCGCTGGTGGATGCTGCAAGTGTTTGTACACACCATTTTTTGTAGAAAAACATAACAATTTCGGATTATTCATCTTGATCAATGCTTAACAATCAGTGGATTAGCAGTACGTACGACTTTATGCACAGTATGTAAGTGATGATATTTCGGATTCGCTTTGTGACTGTTTTTCGACTCCATCGGAGCCTGGGTACATGCGGGGTGTTTCAAAATGGCGGACATGACGAGGATTGTGCCAATCGGCCATTCGTACATTAGAAGGATGGACAAGTATATGAAAGACAAGATGTGAAAAAAAATCTTTGTTTTGACCTAAATTATAAATAGATTCTCACTGTTGATCCGTGGCCAAGGTGGGTTAAACGTTGAGGGTTTGGCGAAATCGTGAACACTATGTACTTTCTCCACAGCCCCTGACATTAGCCTTTTTCAAATCGGAGGTAACGAACTTTCCTTCGACCCCCCACAAAGATTGTAAGGTATATTTCTTTTACTTCCTGATTCATGGTACGAGTGTGAAACATGTAATTTTATGCAACTTCTCCGACGGGACCCTCACAACTTACCACCGGGATGCAACAATGTTGTTATTGAGATTAATCAGCTTAGAAACTCTGTGTCTGAATCCTTACCATACACTGTATGTGTCATTTTGGAAACACCAGGGTTTTGGGACTAAACCTACAGTACCTGAGGGAGTTCACCTACGTACAAAATCATGTATGCAGTACCAATCCAGTACCTATGGTCAATGGTCAATCAAAGATGCTGTGGTCAACACTTGCAGGAGGCTAAGGCCAGTATAAATTAATTTGAAGTTTGATATAATGACATACATGATATATGAGCATAAATCATGGAAATGAATAGATGCATATGTATAGGACAAGAGTCAAATATCTAGTAAGATATTTAGAAAGATGTCTATTCGAAACACTCAAGTATTATTATATCTTTCTTTAAGATATATATAACTTCATGAAAACCTGCAGAACATAATGTCAAAATTTTCCATGCTAATGTCTCAAAGTTATTGTTCGCAGGGTAGACTTACAGTATACATATGTCAAAATTTTCCATGTTAATTGCTGTATTAAAGTTATTGGTTCGCAATGTGAACTTGCAGTATACATGATGTCAAAGTTTTCCATGTTGCTGCATCAAAGTTATTGGTTTGCAATGTGAACTAGCAGTAAACATGATGTCAAAGTTTTCCATGTTACTGTCTCAAAGTTATTGGTTCGCAATGTGAACTAGCAGCATACATGACGTCAAAGTTTTCCATGTTGCTGTATCAAAGTTTTTTGTTCGCTATGTGAACTAGCAGTATACATGATGTCAAAGTTTTCCATGTTACTGTCTCAAAGTTATTGGTTTGCAATGTGAACTAGCAGTATACATGATGTCAAAGTTTTCCATGTTACTGTTTCAAAGTTATTGGTTCGCAATGTAAACTAGCAGCATACATGATGTCAAAGTTTTCCATGTTGCTGTATCAAAGTTTTTAGTTCGCTATGTGAACTAGCAGTATACATGATGTCAAAGTTTTCCATGTTACTGTCTCAAAGTTATTGGTTCACAATGTGAACTAGCAGTATACATGATGTCAAAGTTTTCCATGTTGCTGTATCAAAGTTGGTTCTCAGTGAGTACTGGGTAAGTCATGTGGCTGTCTCAAGGTATAACTAAACTGTTATCTATTCAATACAAGATCAAAAGCAAGGCATGTTTTTTTTTTCTTTTATAAAGACTTGATTTATCAGTAAAATATAACAGTTATGAAGCCACTGTTGTTGAAATCTTTATCATTTTATTATCAAAGTACATGCAATTATGAAAGGTCACTACCTAAAATGTTGGTGATACCTTTCATCATAACAGCAGAAAATTCATGATGTAGTTCGCTTAAAATATATAGTCATAAATTATATTCTAGATAGAATTCTTTCAGCTTCAATCCTGCCGAAGAGACGCCCAGCCACAGACGAAACCTGGAGAAGAGGAAAGAGTCTAAAAAATCAGAGTGAAGTGTCAAAACTGGTGGAGCATCCATCCGTGCAGATTGATAATGAAAACAAGCAGACAAAATTCTAAAGTGACAAGGTAGTCGCGGAACCCTCTTAAGATGCTACAAGCAACATATCAGAAATACTCAATCAGTTATTAAGTTCAGGCGAGCCAGCAACCCCCAAAATAGCATATTGACATTGATGGGACGCTCGGTGCAACAGTAGCACAACGCATTAAACAAAAAATCTGGGAAAATCAGTATTTAGATTTGCGTGTGCTGCTGCAGCAGCGAGAGGATCCAGTATTTTGGGGGGTCTTTGACTTCCAACACCAGTCAACCCAAATAAATTAAGTGAATTTCTAGTTCATTATGATAGATCTCTTTCAACTTAATTAGTGCAGAGTTTTAAATAGGATTTTCGCCTGGGTTGTGTTTGCAGACCCCATCATATCCAATATGTTGAGTAATCATAAATCAGCAAGGGAGAACCAAAATATTATCAATGATCACATAGAAACAGGTCTGCAAAAGGGAATTGATGGACCATTACCTGCACCCCCATTAGATCACTTTGTTGTATTACCCCTACTGCGGCTTTAAACTTAGTGTCAAAAGGTAATTCAAATAATTTTGGAATAATTCATGACCTCTTTTTTCTAAAAGACCAGTCTGTGAATGCCAACATCTGCTGTACACTGTGATTGGATTGTTAATGTTGGAAGTTTGGTTAAAAAATTTAGTCAGTATATTTTAAGAGCAAAGTCTGACATCATTAGCCTCTTGCAAAAATTTTCAAACAATACCATAACCTAGAAAACGGAAAATTTTCTCTCCTTTCTCCCTTTCTCCTCTCCTTTCTCTCTCTTCACTGAAAAATCACACCGCGAAGAGCTTTACTTACTTTGAAATATTGAAATTTTATCTCTCCATTGCACAATGTCAATCTCCCTAAAATTAATATTCCTAGTTCTTTGTCTAACAAGATACCTTTCAATACTGCCACTGAAAAATAGATTACTTTATTTATAAACCATTTTCTGAAAATCCAATATGTTCTGATAAAAATAGCAGGTAAAGGTTTTTCCAGAAATAAAATTTCTAAATTTAGGCACCTTAATAATGATGATAATGAAAAGAATAGTTTGTAATAGTCGCCTTAAGATATGTTAGAAATGAAAAATTAATATCAAAGAAAATGTTGGAATTCGGACTAATATCTGTGAAAAAGTAAATACAGTCAAAGTACACACGAAGAACATTCCTCTGAATATATGCATACTTTCAAATCTAATTTTAGATTAACTAAACCAAAAGTAATTATCAAAAAAAGGAACAAGTCACGTACATAAAGCATGCCAAAATATTAATATTTACTGGTATTATCTTTAACGAGATCAATTAGAATTTTCCTCATCAAATTACTGTATTCGATCATTAATAGAATTAGTATTTCAATATATATCAGCAAACTTAACGCTTGTAACAAATAAAAAATAGAAAATGTAGACCACATCATAGATAATAATCTACCACGTTTATCCATCGATTAAATGCTTTGAATTGTTTTATCAGCTCTATATTCAAGGTTTTTCAGCTTTGAATTATCACTGAAAATGTTATTTCTTAAACAGTTATTTTATACTCATTAAAATAATATAACAAGTATATATTGACTTATCAACTCTAAATATATCTGTAGAGAGTGTGACAGGATTTGGTTTTACCCTCAAACCAAGGTACCACTCACGGCACCAATGTAACCGGAATTCGCTACATGGTATCAATGCAATTTAGGAAATTCCACGATACCAGTGTAGCGAAAATGACCGTATGAAAATACCTCTTAAATATCGCTCACTTTCTTTATCAATAATAGTACTTCGCGCTTTATTCCAATTTCTTACTAACCAATAAACCTCTTGATTTTCATATAGTCATGAAAGTGACTTACTAACCCAAGAATTTTAATAACAAGAGTTTGCAAATTAACAAGTATTTATTATGGCAACAATTGTATTTTATTAACAGCACAAAAATATTTACATTTATATATTTACAACGAAAACTGATGTACTAACGACCTTATATTTATGGGCCGCAATAAAAATAAGTGCCTACATGTACCTAACAAATGTACAAAGTTCAGAGCCCGTCCTACCCAATGCTAAGTCCAAAGGAAAGTGACCCATCCCTGCACGAAAAATCTGCCTGACTGACTGCCACGGAATGTAAAATTTCATATGAATTGCAACTTAACATATTCCAATCACGAAATCAAATCCCCCCAGTTTTTCTTAAACCTCGAAAACTCGACTCATCGAAAACATTTGATTTCATAGTGATAGAATTTTATTTCCCCATATTCAATTCTGCTTTACGAATTTCCCTCACTGTTGTTATCTAGGTATTTGTTTTTCTTCATCTGCCACGTTTATTACCTCTGGAGATTCCAAAGAAGAAATCATCAGGTCGAGTTCGCACATTGTAGAAATCATATACCAGTTTAAAATGTCTGCTCCTTCAGGATTTTGCACTCCGAAATTTCATTATTTATCAAGAGAAATTTAGAAAAAAAATCCTTAATGTTCCAAACCAATTTATATATAAACAAGAGGCCCATGGGCCACATCGCTCACCTGAGAAGCTTTGGCCATTCTGTTCTTTACCAGATTTCCCCCTTGTAATACATATTGTGACCCAACCCTACCCAACTGATAATAATTTAAAGAATTTGGAATCTACACTACCCCAGTATGCTTCCACATAAGTTTCAGCTTTTCTGGCCCAGTGGTTCTTGAGAAGAAGATTTTCAAAGATTTTTTCTATATATTTCTATGTAAAACATTGATTCCCCATTGTGGCCCCGCCCTACACCCGGGGGTCATGATTTGAACAATTTAGAATCTACACTACCCCAGTATGCTTCCACATAAGTTTAAGCTTTTCTGGCCCAGTGGTTCTTGAGAAGAAGATTTTCAAGAATTTTCCTATATATTTCTATGTAAAACATTGATTCCCCATTGTGGCCCCGCCCTACCTCCGGGGGTCATGATTTGAACAATTTAGAATCTACACTACCCCAGGATGCTTCCACATATGTTTCAGCTAATCTGACCCAGTGGTTCTTGAGAAGAAGATTTTCAAAGATTTTTTCTATATATTTCTATGTAAAACTTTGATTCCCCATTGTGGCCCCGCCCTACACCCGGGGGTCATGATTTAAATAAATTAAGAATCTACACTACCCAAGGATGCTTCCACATAAGTTTCAGCTTCTCTGGCCCAGTGGTTCTTGAGAAGAAGATTTTCAAAGAATTTTCCTATATATTTCTATGTAAAACATTGATTCCCCATTGTGGCCCCGCCCTTCCCCAGGGATCATGATTTGAACAATTTAGAATCTACACTACCCCAGTATGCTTCCACATAAGTTTCAGCTTTACTGGCCCAGTGGTTCTTGACAAGAAGATTTTTGAATGACCCAACCCTATTTTTGTCTTTTCTTGATTATCTCCCCTTGTGAGGGGACATGGCCCTTCATTTCTACAATTTATATTCCCCTTCACCCAAGGATGCTTTGTACCAAGTTTGGTCAAAATTAGCCTGGTGGTTCTTGAGAAGAAGTCGAAAATGTGAAAAGTTTACAGACAGACAGACGGACGGACGACGGACAAAATGTGATCAGAAAAACTCACATGAGCCTTCGGCTCAGGTGAGCTAAAATGATTTCATTTTCATTTGATACCTTTTTAGCTAATAAATGTAGTGTTCATTTTAACCCACCGTTTTTAAAATCGGCCTCAATTACTCGAAAATGCCAATTAAATAATGAAAATGTTTTCATTTTTATTATCAAGTATCACAGTATAAATATGATATTCATGTAGTACAAAACAAACAATGATCTACATCGATTGCAAAACACATAATTTTTTTCATTTCCTTTATTTGAATTATTGTCAACAACATTTTTTAATCATATACATCATAAGTATCAAGACTTGTTAAAATTTTTGACATCAAATAAACGGCAGTGCAGACGTTCATCGATTTTCATTATAGTCATTTGACACAATTAATGAATGATACATGCCTTACATTTATAAATCAAATTTTAAAATTAGAATTAGGTATTGAATTTTAAATATTAACTTTGGAGATGAAACTAATGAGTTCTCGTTGCTGACACACAAGTCAACATTTTCCCCAAATGTCTATTAGAACCAACATGTTTATAAGTTAAGGGACTCCGACCCTCAGCCAGGAAGGACAACTCTTTAATTTATAATTTAATTCAAAAAGTCTTTAAATGAAACTTGAAAATTAAATCTTTTCATGCAACAATTTTCATTATATGCCTTTGAACTTCTCAGAAAGGTCTAATTAAAAGTAGAAATTTTTATCCCGAAAAAGCATTTTTAGATACCAATATTTATTAACATGATATGAAATTAGTAGTGATTTATGGAGCTTTGCAAAGATTCTTGAAGCACATTGAGAGGCATATAATGAAAATTGTTGCATGAAAATATTTAATTTTTAAGCTAAATTTAAAGACTTTTTGAATTAAATTATAAATTAAAGAGTTGTCCTTCCTGGCTGAGAGTCGGAGTCCCTTAAACAGAAAGTCAATATAAGAACACATTTAAAAGTGTATCATATTTATGCTTGGAGCTAAAAATACAAAGGCCTATACAGTTTGCTATCAATGATAAAATTTTAGTGTTCAACACTTTAATTTTTTTTAGAATTTTGCAACACCGGGGTAAATATTATGTTATGATATATAAACAAACAAGATCACAAAACAGCTAAAAATAAATATATTATCATAGTATCAATTTTTCTTTATAAAAATGTCAATTAAGATAGCTTAACAAAGCATAATGCATATTAAAAAGTTAACCATCAAATATGAAGACTTCTTTGTGGCAATCTCTTTAAAATATTTTCAAAATTCAATAAGCCTGCCAAATTTTGCAACATTTTCCAGATCATCTGCTGTCAATTCAGGAACCTTGAAATATCTTTCTACCAATTTCCATTTTTTCAACGTATCTCCTCGCTCTAAATCGTCTTCGATTTTTAATGCAGTGATACTTAAAATAGGGAACAATACATCTTTGAAGAGAGCAATCGTTCCTAGTTTCACAAGGCATTCTTTGCAAGAAATTTGACCGACCCCCATCTCAATATCCTCTCCTTGAAAGGCTGCTTTGGAATATTTTTTCCCGATAATGTTGTTCTTTATATCTTCACTGATGCAGGTGTGATGGGCATTCAATATCTTCCTTAACTCGCTGGACATGCACAGGAAAGCACTGCATTTTAAGCACCTACAAAAATAAACAATATGCATTAAATATAATTCACTGCTGTTTTAGCATCCTAAAAACACTTGCAGCTATTATCGTCCTATTTAAAATTAATCAAAATAAGAATTATTTTTAAGATTGATTTACAGAATACACAATACTCCTTTATGTGATATTGAACATTAAAATAGGATTAAAGAATAAACTTATGTTGTCTATCAGCATTGCATTGTTAAAAAATGTACTTTTACCTTAAGCAGTATTGCCCAATTTTGTGAATATTTTCTTAAACCTGATGTTATGCTTTTTTGCATTTCTCGAAAAAATACAAAAAAATCCCTTTTAGCGACTTTCTGAAACTCTTGTTGCTGTTCAAGGAACATGCCGTGGTTGGCACCAATCTGTTGTTGTACTTTTTTCATTGCTTCTTCCATCATCGGTTCTTTCAAAGTATTCATCCATTCTCTTTCAGCAACACACTTCTCTGCAGATGCTAGTACATAGAAACGACTGTTTTCTGCACGACCCCGACCTGTAACACAATAGTACAACATAATAACAATAATAACACAAAAATATGGAGAAAATGAATAGTATCCAGGATCAAAGTCCATTTAAACAACACAAATCGGAGGCAGAGCAAACACAGACCGACGAAAAGTGAGATCAGGTGTCATGGAGGAGTAAGCATCCCCATTCGACCGGTTACACTCTCCTTGTTTATCTTGCTATTATCGGGAGAAAATGGACAATCCTTAAGTAATTTATTTGTTAATTATTGCTTCACGATATATAAATCTTCAGTCAGCATTTCACTTAATGATGTTTCAACTGACAAGGTCGTAAAAGACCAAGACCTTACAAAATTATGACTTCAAACAAGACTGTTGATATCTTTGACATCAACTTGTTTGACAAAAGATTGGCTTGTTTAAGAAACTTCGTATGTAGAACATGCTTTTGCATATCGAATCAGATATATAATATAAAACAACATCTAAATTTATAATTTTTTTTAAACCATGTATTTTCTTCTTCATGTGTTTCTTCAAACTACACAAAAACATGGATGTTAAAAAATGAATAGAATGCTTTCCATCTAAGATAATGTACCTCGTGCTTGCACCAGGGAAATGGGATTTCCGGCATAATCGTATCTTACAACAAGATTACATTCTCTGATGTCGAGCCCTTCCTCGGCAATAGTGGTCGCAACGATAATTTTAAACTCTCCATTTTTGAACAATTCTATGGCATTTACTTGTTCATGTTTAGTCATGCCTACAAAAAAAAAAACAGTTTTCGGTTCCCAACATGCATTATAGGTTTCAATTAGTATACCTGACCGTTCAATGCACAACAATAAACTGCGTGATATAAGCATTATTTTTCATTCAGATTACCATTTATCGCATAATTAAAGACTGTACGAGAAATTAAAAATCTACATATTTATTATCACTAAGTAAAACCTTTTTGTCACACAATATTAATCATTTGTCCAAAATAAATATACATGTACCACCTTTGATGTTAGAGGCAAAACTTTAGATAGAACACTGGAATTTTATTTTTAAGAGAGAAACCATCTCGTACAAAATAAAATGCAATTTCTTTTGGAGTCCAAGTTATTTTTAGTTGATATATCATACCCCCTTCTACAGTTTGAGCCTGTGATCCAGTGTACTTTCGAGCTTTAATGTGCTGTAACTCTTTTGAGTTATCCATCCATGAAGCGAGGATGTCTGCTAGAATGCGAGTTCTCACGAAAACTATTCCCCTCATATTTGGCTCTTCTGCATGTGTTGTCAGGATGATCTCTTTGAGCTTCAGCATGAGAGGGTTTTCTGCAGTTCTTTCTTGATCTAAAGCGCATTCTGCCAACTTTGTATATTCCCCTGAATCAGAAAAAAAATATTAATAAGTTATGCTATATATTTATGAAAAGAGCTACAAAAGGGATAAATAATACCAAATTGATTATCCCTCAAGAGAAAGAAAAAATTCTGTATGCTTACAACCGTATAGATTCTTGGAAAAAGAAGCGGATAATATGAATATAATCCTTTAGATATTTGTAGAATTACCTTCAAATACTGATTTTACTTTTCTTTCAATTTCATTTTCGTTTCTGGATGATTTTGGAAGGTTCTCAATAGCATTTTTGATGCAATTCAATGCATCACTGGCTCTTGCATATGAATGGTGAACAAGAGCATTGTTGTAAATCTGTGTAAGAATTAATTACAACGAAAATTTATAAATTATTTTTGAACTAATCAGACATTAATTACAAGTAACTAAAAATAAATATAATCTTTTCTGACAAAATAACTACATGTTCCATTTTTTTCATTCTCCTTTTTATATACTAAATGAATTTTTTTTTTTACATTTTTCTCTCATAAATAATAAAATTAGCAGATATTTGACCTTATATTTAATTTACGAAATACATGTACCTCTAAATATTTCCTTATTGTAAACAGTGATCGAGTTGCTTCTGATTTAGAGAGTTTTGCCAATGCTTTTAAAAGGACGTCCTCCAGCCATTGTGTATATTGTTCATTACCTTTCGTTGATGGAGGTTGTATAGCATTTTTGTCTACAATCCCAACTGTGTTCAAAATAAAACAAAATTATGAACAAACACAACAGAGCTTTCCATTCCATTCTTATTATTTTTTTATCAGAAAAAGATAAAAAAAATTGCGCTTCGTATTAAACTTCTTATCAGGTACATTGAAATAAAATATATTAAAGTAAGGAGTTATTTTATCAAGAAAATACCGCCAGTGTCTTCCAAATATTTTTCAGTTGTAGCCATGAGAGCTTTGACACATACTCCGAACTCGTCCTTCTGCCTTACAGGTACTTCTTTGATGACTAAAAAAATTAAATATATAATCAAATGATATTTTCCACCGTTCGTTCGTTAAAGGCTTTAAATTTTTAGGGAATTAAAATTTCCTAAAATTTCCGTAAATTCACTGCTTTAATTTAATTGCCCGTTTATAATTCTAATAATTCGCGTGGAAAAAAGTGAAGATATAAAAGAGTTTTACATTGTTCTGGAGAGTTAACGTGTTTGGCCAAATCGCTTCTGTTCTTTCGGACCGTCACAAGGTAATGGGCGTCCATGTTGGACATGACTTGCTTTAAATACTCAGTGGCTTTCTCAATAGTTTTAGCTTTTCCCACTCCAACAGATGCAGTAAAACCAACAACCTGTGTATATAATATGTTTGTAATTGCAATTGATGCGATTAATTTCATTTTCTAATGAGCTCTCCATGAGTTCACTTATCCTCCACTTTCTCTATAATAGTTAAGTGTTGAAATTTGACATAATGCATAATGCTATTAAGTAAATAAAAAACTTTAACAAAATAACATATAATTTTTTTGGCTTTTCTCTCGTAGAAATGGCATTTGGTAATTCAAAATTTTGTCATACTTGGGGAAGTTGGCTTTCTTCATCTGTCTGTTCTAGTTTGACATCCATGTACTGATTCATTATCTGTTTAAATGGATGGCTTCCATGACAATGATGGCATTCGTCAAATATCAGCAAAGAAAAATCTCTGATGCTTACACCCTGGTTGGTAAGTGCATTGACCAGCATTTGAGCAGTGACCACAAACACATCAAATCTGAAATCAAGAGAATAAATAAAAGGTTAAAGTAGTTTTTGCTGAATTGAAATCCTGATTCATATGAACTGCATGTTTACTGTAACTCAGTCGTACATATATGTGATTTATTTTCATGGTTTGACATCATTCAAAATAAATACATATAAATAACAATTAATGTTACAGTAGGTCATTACCTTTCTACGTATTTACTTATGTAGCCTTTAACTTACTGAGGAAGAAGTGGTTTCATCTCTTGAAAATCTTCCTCTCTCTGGGTGTCACCCGAGATCACTTTAAGTCTACATCGTACATAATCCTTTATTTTCTCTGACTGCTGGTTCGCTAAATTATTTTTGTCCACGATAAATACCACTTTCTTGACTTTTCCTGTTTCGTCAAGGTGATTCTAGAAATATTGGTATATTGTAAGCACTCGGTAAATGTGAATTGAATTTGTGTTTTCTGAATTTTTAGGTTTTACCTGAATTATTCTGATAGCCACGTATGTTTTGCCACTGCCAGTTGGCGATACAATTAAACAGTTTTCTCCCTTCAAGGATTGTTCAGCTTGTTCCTGTTGATACTGTCTTAATTCTAATGTTTTTATTGAGACGTCATTGTTTGCTAAGGACTTTGAATCATCTAGAAAAAGAAATAAATGTTTCATTCAAAACGTATTTCAAACATTTCTCTTTATCTAATTACATTGCATTTATCGTTGAACGCATTTTTTATATCTACATTAAATAACGCTTACCAAGTTCTGCGACCTTTTCTTCTGTTACACTTTCGTCATCAATAACTTGGGTACTATTTCTTGTATAGAGAACTTTTACATTGGTTCTTGTTTCACCAGGATCACAATTATCGTTTGGACTTCTTTTATTAGCATTTGTCGTGTGTTTCTCTTTTCTTAGTGATTCCTCACTTATTCCAGAGGATAAAATTTCATCAAAGTTTAGACTAGACGCAAATTGTACTTCAAGGTCAGAAACTTCATAAAGCTTTTTCTGGCTTGCTTCATCATTTTCTTCTCCATGCTGGTTAATTGGAATATATTTGAGGGAGGTTTGGCTTTCTACAGCTGTTGGATTTAAAAATGATGGGTCTGGATTCGCTCTAACTGGAACAGTTGGGCCGGGATATGGTGCGTGAATGTCTGATTCACATTGAACTGGCTTGCTTAATCTTGGTTCTATAAAACATTGTTAGGTATGTGTTATATATTTTCAAACAGAAGTTAAATTTTATTGCCAGTTTCAAGACATATAGCTTATGTCGTTAAAGACGATGATTCTATGATATTATCTGTCAGAATTTATTTCACATGATGAGGCTCTACTCTATACCGTCACCATTGAAAATTTTTTTTACAAATATAATGACTTACCAGAGAGATGTGGAATGCCATTTTCAGGACAATTTCCATTCTTTTTTCTATCCTCCCATTCTAAATTACAAAAAAGAAAAAGAAAACAAAATAGAAAAATAGAAAATAATCAAGTAATCACAAAAAAAATTTGCTTACCTTCTGCAAATTCGTCATCAATCTCTTCCACAATGTATTTATATTCTTTTTCGCACAGTTCTTCTAAGAACACATGGTACCAATTATCATCCCTTCTCCATATTCGATCTAGAAGAACTAACATTGCAGACTTTGGCCCTTTGTTTCTCATCTCAGCCTCAATTTCTTCTCGATCTGTCATCTCTATAATATATCGAGATTCCAATTTTACCCATACTTGGGATGGGTCAATATTCTGCACAAGGTCCATTTTGTGTTGTTGAAGAATCTTTGTAAATTTTTTGTAAGCATCGCTCTTCACTCCCTGACCTCTTAAAGCTTTTGCTACATATTTGTATCCTGAAATATATCACAAATCTTTTCAGGTATAGATAAGTAGCATGATTAAATCCTGGAAAACATACACTGTACACACATATATAGTAAGTGTGTGTCACTTTTTTTTCTGCCGTCTATCTTGGACATTATTAAAAGTTAACACATTCAATACAATACTAGTAATATTTTCTTCCTATCCTTATCTCTCTCTTTCACAAACACACTCACACACCCTCACATCCACCTCTTTCCCTTACACACACCCTCACAACTCTATTCCGATCGACTACAGCTACAAATTTGCTCTAAACTTTCGAGATATCAGTGATTGATAAAAAGAAGACTAAATCACCTCTTTTCTCTATAACATCTATAAGTTTTGTCCACTTTTCATTATAGCTGCTCCCCTCAATGAAAACAAGTAGCTCTTCCATTGCCACAGTTGAGCCTCTTTTTTCAAATTTTTTCATGACTGTCTCCCTTTCTCCTTTAATGTAGATTAAATTCATAACATTCAAATAAAAAAAATCAACCAGATTTACCTAAAAACAGTTTGATGAGTGAATTTTTTTTCCTGATTTATCCCTGTGTTAAATTTTACTTTTGAAAAATGCATGAAAGATATAAGGAGTTTAATTTATCGAAAGTTAATATATAGTTCTTAGGAACAGATTTTACTGGAACAATTTCTAGGAAATCTTTCATATACCATAAAGGCTTATAAAATTAAAATAGGAAACTTTCGTACTTGTTGAAATGACGCCGTCCAGGTAAGGAGCAATGTCCGTGACAAGCAGACATCTTACAAGTAGTGGTCTATACATTTTAACCAGCAGGGGTATTTCGGAGCAACCAAGTATACTATCCATGAATTCCAAGGAACTTCTCGGCTCCCCATCATTCTCTGCCATTTTATCTTTGAAAAAAACGTATATCGTGGTATAAATTATCCATTCAAAATTATTGTAAAAACATAAAAAATACATTTACCATTCTAAGGACAAACAACTAAATTTAATTTTAATTTCAGTTTTTAAAAAAACATTTTCACTCCAATGTTATCTAATTTGAATATGTATAATATAGCAATTTTATTTTAATACATCATCTAACCTGGAATAACCAACTGTTTTCGTCAGAAGTTGATTTTCTGATTCAACACTATTATCCAGTTCGGCGTCTAGTCCCAGATATATTCGTCAATGTGGACCTATAGATATTAATTTTCACAACATTTAAATGAAGTTAAGACTGAAATTATAATAAATTAAATAAAAATATGCACGAGAATTACATTGTCTACTACCTGGGTATTTAATAAAATCGGATGTTTTATTAAATTAGTAGTAGTACTTTGTAAGTAATTTCAAACTAGTCTTCAAAGATCCCAGTTAATTAAGAATACATTATTTATTCAAACATTACATGGAATTTGTTTTCTTGTTGTACAGAAGTATTGAAATGTGATCTGTTTAGAAGTGATGTTTAGTTCTCCAAAGCTCACGACACCACCTCTGATGGTGTAGAGGTTCAAGTTTGCTCTGCTAAAAATGCTTTAATACCGTACATGTACCCAGCATTGGGGGCCGTTGAGCGGTAGCGATTTTTGTAATATAATTTGATTTGGTTTGCGGACAACGTGCGTTTTATTGGACCTAAGAACCAAACAAATTGGTTGTCTGTTAGAAAAAAAACGCAATTGTCAAAGAACACAGTCAATAACTATTAATTTATACCTTATATTTTATTATTTGACAAATTTTGCGATGGCTTTCATGTTTGTGACAATGAATGTTAATTTTCTTTATCTGCACTGCTTATTTGACTTATTGATTCCGTCACAGTCGAATACAAACAAATGTAAGTAAAAACCACGCCCACAGTATAACGTAATAAGAGTCAAAGCGATCGAATAACTTATCTTATCAATATGTCCTTATCTCACTCATTTTACCCCGTTCGATTTTTTGCACAGCTAGGTAAAACGTGGAAATGTTAGAATCTTTTTTAGCATATGATTTTATTTAGAACGATCTTTAAAGTTATAAATAAATCAGAAGTTAAACCCCTTTTAATCAAAGAGTGAGCCCAAATCCGATATTGTAACTCAAATCAAAAGATTGCTATTTTTAGTTTGGAAAACCCCACGTAGAAATTCATGACTACTAAAAATAGCCAACTATGTATATCGGACAAATGTCAAGTTCTCTCTCTTTTAAAATTTATGATAAAATATGAATTTTCCATTAGAGATTTTACATTCAATGGAACATCAGCATCGTCATTTTTAAGGAAATATAAAGATATCGAATTGTAATCAAGCTCCAAATCGAAAAAAACAAAATATTGAATGGGAGCCGAAGAAACACTGACCTCTCAAATACAGTCGAGTTGGGGTCAGATGTCATGGAGGAATACGCATCCCCTGTCGACATGTCACACCTACCCTGTGCTCTTTGACATTGACATGGTCGGATAAACAGAAAAATCCGAAGGAAATTCACTGTGATAGTAATGGCCTAATAATTTATATAAAAAAATTTTGTTAATACATAATGATTAATATACATTATAAATTGTCGGTCAGCATGCGACTTTAAGTTACTGTAAACCAACTTTTATAAAAATATAGGGATAAACTAGTTTGCAACAATTAATTTTCGCGATCAAGCCTTTTTGCATCTGTTTTTAATAGACAAATACACTATGAGGGCCGGTTCGCGGCGAGAAAAATTCGCGATGACGAGGCTCTCGCGAACTCCGCGAAAATTTCTCGCACGCGAATAAAAGTTGGTTTATAGTATATTGTATAGTCAATGACCAGGTCATTGCCAAATGACAGGACCGACCATTTTATCAAGGAGAAAAATTTATTGGTATAATCGTTGATAGAAGGAAGTTATAATTGTTCATGCAAATACAATACAAAGTGAAATATAAAAGATCAAGTACAAAACATCAACAATAACACTAACCGCCATTTACAAATTTATATATTGATTGAACGTTATTACTGAAAAATCATGTTATTAATACATAATGATTATGTACACATTATACAACTGGGAAAAAAAACTTCAATTCAGTTTGTGTTCAAACATATAAAAATATAGAAAAATGATTCTTACATCAATTCCATTGTCTTCATGCCAGTATTACATCCACATTGAAGTGCTGCGTAGGTCTAATAATCAAAACGAAAGAAACATATTTTATGTTTTGTTTATTAATGCTACTTTCTCTTTCTTTTCATGGAACTGAACTGCATGTTTCTATTTATAAATCAATTTTCCAGAAATCATACTCGATATAAATATAGTACGCGGGTGGCAAAACAGCTAAATTAAACGCATTATAAGAAATTCCATATCAACAATTAAAGTATAACCAGACATTTTTGTTTTATTAGTTATAGTTAACAACGTTAACCTATATTTTACATCTGTAAACTATAGTTAACGCGATAATCTATGTTTCACAACTGTAAACTATACTTAACACCGAAAACTATCATTTGCCATTGCAAAACGTAGATTATCTGATAAATACAGTTTCACGATTTGTGAAACTATGATTAACAACTCTTAACTATAGTTTACGATTGTAAACTGTAGTTTACAAACGTGAATCTATGTTTATCAACAAAATCTATTGTTAACGCTTTATTCAGACAGATAAACTTAGATTAGCATTCGTTAAATATAGTTTACGGTTGTGAAACTAGGTTTATCTCATTTTTGTGAATTTGGCGTGCCATACATACCCGCTGTGTGTTCCTTGTTATGATCGGGTACACGTAAAAATCCGTAATCAGTTATTGAATGTAAAAATGACCATAGTTGCCTAATAAAAACGCCAGCCCTAACAAAGATTGTATTTGCAAACAAGATCAATTTTAGACCATAGAAATTGTAAAAGTTGACTTTAAAACTCGTTTGTTACAAATATTTTGATAGACTGTCCCGTTTTGAATATTGTTCATTTGCGAATGTGCTCTAGTGTTAGAGTATGAAAAAAACTTGGAAAACATATTTAAAGGTGACCTATTGCTAAATAAGTTAGAGGAGCTAGAGTCGTCATCTTCATTTAAAGTTAAGATTTCAATTTGCAATCAAAATTTATCAATATATAGCGTATTAATCTAAATGAAACATAGTTTCCTATTCTGATTTTTTTTCTAAACTCAAGTTCTATATCAAATTAAGCAGGAATTCAAATAAATAGTGATGCCTGTTGATCCAGTATCTTAATTTCGAATAAATTTCACAAGATACTTCTTATTCATGTAGTTTTTTTTTTTTTTTTTTGGAATAAAATTTTACATCAGTACAAAACAAATGTGCTGAAACCTCGGAACAATAAGTACCAAATCAATTCCGACAGATTGTTGGATTACGTGATTCCGAAAACTACGTTATTGCACTGTTAATAAGAAATTCAAAAATCTTTTGATATTGATGACACAGATTGTTTTAACAAAATAGGTGTAATTAACTTCAGGATTTCTTACCCTAATAGGACCAAATTCTCTACCATCAAGTGTCCGTCAAGTAAATAATACTTTGATATTAAAGTATTCGAGAAAAAAGAAAATTAAAAATCAACACAAAATAGAAATAAATAGAAAGTCATTCTCCAGTACTCTAAATATTTACACCTTCTCTTTTGAAGAGTCGCAAGGGTAGATACAATTACCTTGTCAGCAAATACAATTTATCTATAAACAAATGCTGACTGACTTTTCGTACAGATTATCATGCTTTTTATCATTCTTTTTTTTCACTGAATTGTCTACGTTTTTTTCCGTTTGCCTGATCATAAAAAATATTCAGCTGATGTGACCTGTCGGTAGAACTAGAGCATGCCAACTTCTCTTTGGCACCTCATCCAATCTCTGATGACATTAGAGGTCTTCGTTTGCTTTGCTCCAGATTTGTTTCTTTTCAATATACCTTTGAGTTTGATTACTAATCGTTATTTTTCATATTTTATTTTATAAATTTTATAAAAATATTTATTTTTGGAAAACAGTTTTAAAAAGCACATAAAAACCACTTTCTATTTTAGAAATAAATTCTATCACATCCTATAACATCAATACATTTTGTAGACACAACAATGTTAAACAACACATCTTTTCATCTCCTCAAAAATTTTAATGTTTGTGGATTTATTAACGATTGATCACTGAGAGTTATTTCCCTCTTTTCATTTCATTTCTGAATTTGAAAGACAGCAGAAAAATAAACTGACACGTACAATACTTTCATATCATTCTAGCTAAATTCGACAAGTTTTCCAGATTTTAAAACGTTTTCAATATCATTTGTCGAAAGGTCTGGCACCGTAAAATATTTCTCTACCATACCCCACTTTTTAAGCGTGTTCCCCTTTTCGAAGTCATTCTCTATCTTCAGTGCCTTTATATTCAGAATAGGATAAAATATTCCTTCGTAAAAAGCAATGGTTCCCAGTTTCACTGAACATCCTTTTCCAATGCAATCAATCTGACCAACTCCCATTTCAATATCCTCACCAGGATAAGATGGCGTTTCGAACTTAGTACAGTTGATACTATACTTTAAATCTGGACTGATACAAGCATAATGATGATTCAGAATCCTCCTTATGTCGCTCGACATACAGAGGTGTGCATGGCATTTTAAGCACCTACAAAAGTAAATAGAATATTGAAACATATCTTAACATTTTCGATCAAACAATTTTAACAAGAATTGTGTCATTATATGTAATAAAAGCTATCTTATTTGATGAAAACTGAAAACAAAAGCAACTGAAACACTTTTTTTTACACACTAAGGAGGAGTGTAATCATAGACGGTGAAGAAACATTTTATCTCTGTAATTGCCTCTTGAAAAACTATTTTGTTTCGGACAAATTTTGGCTATTCTGGATTAAAATTTGACATACTTTTGAGAGTGCCGCTAAGATTAAACATTTTTTTATTTTTACAATAAAAAAGTTCAAATCTACTCGTTAAACTGCATAGAAAAAATCGGAAAAAAAAAATAATATATAAGTTAGAAATTACCTTAAATAATATTCTCCTAGGCCTAGATTCAGTACTCTCTTCTGAACTTGATTTAGTTTTGCTGCCCAACGTTCCCTTTTAGCAAGCTGCTGAATCTCTCGTTTTTGGGTGAGGTATGAACTATAATTGTATTCAATTAGCTGCTGTACATTTCTCATTGCTTCTTCCATCATTGGTTCCCGTAAGACATTCATTTGCTCTCTTTCAGCAACGCATTTATCCTCTGAAGCCAGAATGTAAAATCGACTGTTTTCTGCTCGACCACGACCTGATTTAATCAATTTGGAAAAAAGAAAAACGACATTTAGAAGTTGATAGCATTTTTGTAGTTTACTTTTAAAATACATATCATTTTTAACAATTTATTACTGAGTTCCCCCTTTCAAAATTGATAATTTTGATAAAAATAATAAAAAAATTAAGGGCTTTTACACTAATGTCACAAAAGTTTCGAAAATAAAAGTTCAGAAACACTATAATTGATGTTGGTTATAGCTTACAAACATAATTAAAAACAATTAAAAAGATAATTTGTAACTATATAATAGTGAAACCAAGCTGACAAAAGTATTTCACCTCTAGCTTGAACCAATGATATCGCACTTCCAACATAATCGTATCTGACGACAAGATTACATTCCTTGATATCTAGTCCCTCCTCTGCAACAGTAGTGGCCACAATAATTTTATACTGACCCTCCTTGAAAAGGTCGAGAGCATCTATTTGTTCATATCTTGTCATGCCTAAATTAGAATTAAATATTTTATATAAATAATTTCACCTTCTTATATATTTCCACCTTATGATTCAGTGAATGAAATAAGTGTGTGCTGAGTATTTAATTTTGACCATTTCTGGCAATTTATTAAGATTTATCAAATAAAATTTTCTAAAATTTAACAATAACAAATGCATGCATTCTGTTTAAATAAAATAAAATTTACTAACATGATCTCCAACAAACATTTTGATACACCTTGTGGACCCAAATTTGTCCAATTACTGAAAAACTTGCTTTACTGTTATCCAAAATAAATAAATTCAGATTACAGTATTTTTAAGGCTTACCTCCTTCTGAAAGTTTTGCTAGGGAACTAGTATATCTAAGAGCTTTGATGTGCTGTAATTCCTTTGTATTCTCTATCCAAGAGGCCAGAAGTTCTGCAAGAATACGTGATCGAACAAACACTATTCCCCTCATGTCTTGGTTCTCAGCATATGTGGTGAGTATGATTTCTTTCAGCTTAAGCAAAAGGGGGTTTTCTGATGTTCTCGTATGATCCATGGCGCATGCTTCCAACGTCGTATAATCCTCTTGAACAGAAAATCGGAGGTGTCAAATGATTGAAATTTGAGAGAGAGAGAGAGAGAGAGAGAGAGAGAGAGAGAGAGAGAGAGAGAGAGAGAGAGAGAGAGAGAGAGAGAGAGAGAGATTTAAATTACCTTCCAGCAAATTTTTAATTTTTTGTTCCAGTTCAGTGTGTCCAGACAGTTTTGGAAGATTGCGTATTTCCTTTATTATAAAGTGTAGAACATCTATTGCTGTGGCATGTGAAAAGTGGACAAGTGCATTGTTGTAAATCTACGAATGATTAACCAAGATAATGAAAAGTATACTATGCTACTCACACACAGGTTCAATAGTCAATACATACAAAGCAGAGATCTGTGTTTTATTTCCTATTTATTATGTTTACATACCCATTGAACTTACGGTCATTGTAAATTTTAAGAGGAACCAGGAAAACTTAAAACCTTGGGCATTTTGGTGAAAAATTCTACTTCAGTTGAAATATGTAAGCCAGTAGAATATTTTATATATATTTAATCATTTTCTCAAAATCAAAACATAATAATTGAAGTTTCAATTTTGAGTTCCCTTTTTAGTTATCTTACTAAGAGCAGTTATTTAGTATAAAAAAAAAACAAATATACCTCTAAATACTTCCTCAAAGTGAACAATGATCGGTTTGTATCTGTTTCAGAAATCTGAGCTACTGCTTTCAAAAGAGCGTCTTCTAACCAGTTTTTGTATTGTGTACTCCCTTTTGCCGCTGGAGGACGTAGAAATCCGACTACAGTTCAGACATTATGGAAATCAGAAAAAAATGTATAATCATATATTAAAGTGTCACTATGTATTGTAAAGTTTTGTTTTATTCCAGTTTCGTTAAGAAATGCTCACAGATAAGACTTTTCAAAAATTACAAATTTCAATTAAAAAAGTAAAAAAGGTATATACATACCTCCCGCGTCGTCTAAATATTTCTCAGTTTTAATCATAAGAAGTCTTATATGTGTCCCAAACTCGTCGTTTCTTCGGACAGGTACAGTTGTAATGTCTAAATCAATTTGTCAAATATGCTTATGAAAATAGTCAATTTTAAATATTCTGTTGAAATTTAATCATTGAAAACTTTCTGCAAAGTCGCTTCTTTTTGTGAGGTCATATTTTCGTGCTTTGAAGAAAAACTATTAGTTCAGAGGGATAATGATTTCTTCAATGAAGAATTGTTGATTATTTACTTAAAGTATCTATATTTTATACCTTATTAAATTGATGAAGTCTCTATTATAAAAAATGAAAAAGAGTTAAGCTATAATATTTTGTGGTTGACATATCGATACCGTGACAAAATTCGGCTTACATTTTTATCTTATTGGCTTACATTGTCTTGGGTTGTTCATATGTTTTGCCAATTCACTCTTGTTTCTCTGAACCGTCACTAAATAATTAGCGTCCATATTTGCTAAGGTGGTCTTTACATGTTCTATTGTTTTCTGGACAGTGTTGGACTTGCCCAGACCTATTGATGCCGTGAAGCCGATGATCTGTGAAAAGGAAGATATAAATGTGAAATATCAAATTATTTCTTTTTAGAAAGATAGACTTTGTTAATTTGAAACAGTAACTTAAAAATAAACACATCTTTTCTTATTAGTCATGCAATTTGAAATACACCCGTGTATGAAAAAAATTGCATCCAAAGAGATTTTGTCAACATGTACGCTAAAAAGAAAACAAAAAACTGTAAAGAAAAATTAAGCTTTGGAAACCTTCATTTAATACAGTAACACAATACTGTAAACCAACTTTTATTCGCGACGACTCTATTTCGCGATTTACCAGAGGTAAACTAGTTAGAGACAATTAATTTTCGCGATCAGGCCTTTTTCGATCTGTTGTAAATAGACAGAAACTTTAAATACCGGTTCAAGGCGAGAAATATTCGCGATGACAAGGCTGTTGCGAACTTTCTCGCATACTTGTAAAAGTTGGTTTACAGTAATTACTATGGCGTAATACATTGTTCATACTTGTGGAAGCTGGCATTCCCCGCCGAAGTATTCTAATTTCGCGTCTAAATAATGATTCATTATCTTCTGAAATGGATGGGTTCCACAACAGTGATGACACTCATCAAAAATAAGAGTTGAAAAAGACCGAATGTTGACATTCTGTTTGTTTAAAGCATTGACCAGCATTTGAGCAGTGACCACAAGAACATCATATCTGTAGTGGTAACATAATTATCAATAACTATATAATTATATTTCAAAAAACATCGCGAATTTAAAAGAAATGTTCGACATTTCTTAATCAATCAATTGGTATATTTTGGTATACACTCTTTTGAGCATCTTATTATAAAGTTTCTGAAAAATTAATCTACCGTATTGCATTTAATTTGCTGATTAAATGTTTCCTACAACATAATCCTTAATTTCAATACTTACTGAGGGAAAAAGGATGCAATATCCTGAACATTTTCCTGTTCCCTTTGAATGTCTCCAGATATAACCTTCAATCTGCATTGTATATATTCTTCTATTTTCTCGGCCTGTTGATTTGCTAGATTGTTTTTGTCCACAACAAAGGCAATTTTCTTACCTTTTTCAAGTTTTTCAAGGTGATACTATTGCAAATAAAAAATAAATGGTATAGGATCTTTCAAATAAAAAAAAATTAAACAATGTTTTTTCACCGAAATATGGCTAACAAACCTGAATTATTCTAATGGCCACCACTGTTTTGCCACTGCCAGTGGGAGAGATAATTATACAGTTATCTCCTCTTAAAGCTCTTTCCGCCAGTTCTTGTTGATACTGTCTGAGTTCCAATTTCTTCTTGGGGGCATCCTCCTTACTTTTTGATCCACCTGTAAATATTCTCCTTAAGTATAACTTAAGTAATGCACTAATTAAATGTTATTGGGAAAGAGAAAGTACAACTTGACACTGAACAACATTTATAGCATAAAGTATATTCTCTTACTCTGTCCCAATGGTGTCCATTCTGCTATGCTTTCTTTCTCTATATGTTTGATGCTCTCTGAATAGGCATATTTGCTCGAGTTTGCAGTTGGATTTGATATTTCAGGGTCACTGTAAACTAAACTTGTTTCCTCGTTTTCTGTATTTTCAGTTGAGGAATTTTCCCCATGTAGTAATTCAGATGCGAGAGATAAATTCTTCAAATCTTCTTCCATAGAAATCTCTTTGTTTTGATTTTGAACACCTTCGTCGTCATCATATAAAGAAATAAAGTCTACTGAGTTCTGATGTGAATCTGTTGTTTCATTTTTTCTTGGATCAACCTCTTCCTTAACGTGAAGTCCATGGATTGTGAAGGATTCCTCTTCCATGATGTTAATTAATATCACCCAACTGATGTTAATTAATATCACCCAACTGATGTAAATTAATATCACCCAACTCAATATTGAAAATCTATATTTTTGAAAACTGAGAAGGAAAATAGAATAAACTGGGAGCTATCTTTAGAATTTAAACAGAATTAAAAGGAAAAGAGTATTTTAATGGAGATATGTAAAGTTAGCTACTAGTAACTGGCTACTAGTAGCTGGCTACGACAAGTGGTAAAGTTAGCTACTAGTAGCTGGCTACGAGAAGTAAGTAAAGTTGGCTACTAGTAACTGGCTACTAGTAGCTGGCTACGACAAGTGGTAAAGTTAGCTACTAGTAGCTGGCTACGAGAAGTAAGTAAAGTTGGCTACTACATGTAGTAACTGGCTACTAGTAGCTGGCTACGACAAATGGTAAAGTTAACTACTAGTAGCTGGTTACGATAAGTAAGTACAGTTGGCTATTAGTAACTGCATGGCTACCAGTAACTGACTTGAACATTCTAGTACCTTTTGTATTAAATTATGCTAATTTGGGAGAAATTATCTGGCACTAGAGTTACAAAAATATCATTATTAATAAACTCAGCAACTAGTACCGTTAACAGTGTGCAATTTTGGGAGATAAATGTTGTTATTATACAAGTAACTGGATTTTTACACCGCTTATATCCACTGATATTGTTGATAAAAACAATTTCTGAGCTTTTCCACATGATCTGGCACTAATGTTAACAAGATATCGTTAGTAATAAACTCAGCTACTAGTACCTTTTGTTTAAAATTACGCAATTTTGGGAGACCAATGTTGATATTATAGAGGTAGCTGCATTTTGACACCTCTGATATCCACTGATATTGTTAATAAAAACAATCTCTGAGCTTTTCCACATGATCTGGCACTAAAGTTAACAAGATATCGTTATTAATAAACTCAGCTACTAGTACCTTTTCTTTAAAATTATGCAATTTTAGAGACAAATCTTGATATTCCGGAAGTAGCTGGATATCTAAACAGCAGATATCAACTGATATTGTTGATAAAAATAATTTCTAAGATTTTCCACATGATCTGTCAGTAAAGTTACTAAGATATCGTTAGTAATAAAATCAGCTAATGGTAATTTTGTTTAAAATTATGCAATTTTGAGAGACAAAAGTTGATATTCCAGAAGTAGCTGGATATTTACACCGCTGATATCCACTGATATTGTTGATAAAAACAATCTCTGAACTTTTTCACATGATCTGGCACTAAAGTAACCAAGATATCGTTATTTATAAACTCAGCTACTAGTACCTTTTGTTTAAAATGATGCAATTTTTGGAGACAAATCTTGATATTCCGGAAGTAGCTGGATATTTAAACCGCAAATATCAACTGATATTGCTGATAAAAATAATCTCTAAGATTTTCCACATGATCTGTCAGTAAAGTTTCCAAGATATCGTTAGTAATAAACTCGGCTACTAGTACCTTTTGTTTAAAATTATGCAAATTTGGGAAACAAATCTTGATATTCCAGAGGTAGCTGGATATTTACACCGCTGATATCATCTGATATTGTTGATAAAAATAATCTCTGAGCTTTTCCACATGATCTGGCACTAAAGTTACCAAGATATCGTTATTAATAAACTCAGCTACTAGTACCTTTTGTTTAAAATTATGCAATTTTGTGAGACAAAAGTTGATATTCCAGAAGTAGCTGGATATTTACACCGCTGATATCAACTGATATTGTTAATAAAAACAATCTCTAAGATTTTCCACATGATCTGGCACTAAAGTGGAAAAGCTTAGACATTGTTTTTATCAGCAATATCAGTGGATATCAGTTGTGTAAAAATGCAGCTACTTCTATAATATCAACATTTTTCTCTTAAAACTGCATAATTTTAAACAAAAGGTACTAGTAGCTGAGTTTATCAATAACGATATCTTGGTAATTTTAGTGCCAGATCATGTGGAAAAGCTCAGAGATTGTTTTTATCAACAATATCGGTTGATATCATCGATTTAAATATCCAGCTACTTCTATAATATCAAGATTTGTCTCGCAAAATTGCATAATTTTAAACAAAAGGTACTAGTAGCTGAGTTTATTAATAATGATATCTTGATAACTTTAGTGCCAGACCATGTGGAAAAGCTTTGACATTGTTTTTATCAGCAATATCAGTTGATATCAGCGGTGTAAAAATGCAGCTACTTCTATAATATCAACATTTGTCACCCAAAACTGCATAATTTTTAACAAAAGGTACTAGTAGCTGAGTTTATTAATAACGACATCTTGTTAAGTTTAGTGCCAGACCATGTGGAAAAGCTTAAACATTGTTTTTGTCAACAATATCAGTGGATATCAGCGGTGTAAAAATGCAGCTACTTCTATAATATCAACATTTGTCTCCTAAAATTTGTATAATTTTAAACAAAAGGTACTAGTAGCTGAGTTTATTAATAACGATATCTTGGTACCTTTGGTGCCAGATCATGTGGAGAAGCTCAGAGATTGTTTTAATCAACAATATCAGTGGATATCAGCGGTGTAAAATTGCAGCTACTTCTATAATATCAAGATTTGTCTCCCAAAATTGCATAATTTGATACAAAAGGTTTATTAATAATTATTATTATTAATAATTAATAAACAAGAGTTTATTAATAACGATATCTCGGTAACTTTAGTGCCAAATCATTTCTCCCAAATTAGCATAATTTAACACAAAAGGTATTAGAATATTTAAATCAGTTACTGGTAGCCAGTTACTAGTAGCCAACTTTACTTGCTTGTCGTAGCTAGCTACTAGTAGCCAGTTACTAGTAGCCAACTTTACTTACTTCTCGTAGCCAGTTACTAGTAGCTAACTTTACATATCTTTTTAATGGTTGGTATTTTTCATGGTCGTTATTGTTGTATATATAGGTTCTTCAAAAATTAGAAACTTATTTTGATTGAATTTTGATTAAATCAGTGACACTGAAAAATGCAAGTTTCCTTAATGATAAAGATTTAAAGCACAAATTTAAATAAATTTAAAAGTATTTTTTTTACCAGAAAAAAAGATATGCATAATTTTTATATGATCATTTACTTAATTTTAAAAGCATACAAATATTAATATGCATGAGCAGCCATAGAGATAGAAGGAAGTGTGTGTATGTATTGGATTTGTGTAAATTGTTAAAATGACGAATATTCTTATCATCTTTTATTATTGATAAATATTCTGCTTTACAGTTTTTAAAAACATGGATCAGACTTACCCATAACACTGCTTTAAGATAAGATTCAATCTCAATTTAACCCATAAACAAGTAAGTCTGACTTCCACTTTCGTTTCAAGTAACTCAACTGCTTCTATTTTTAAACAATTTCAGAAAACATTTCCCTAAATGCAACCTTTACGGCTTGTGGTAATTTGCAGAGTGGAATTGTGAGATGTAATGGAGTCACGAAATGGAATCGTTGGGACATTTCACACTTCTCGACTGTACAGACCAAATAGATGTATTATTGTAAATTATGTATTGATACAGAAGTATGAATGCTGACTTTTTGCATAAACGCTAATTAAAAGTGGTTTATAAATGAAGTTATCTCGTAAGCAATTGCAAACTGTTTAATCATTATAATAAAACCAAAGTTCCAAACCGTTATTTTATATATTTACATTTTTACCATATCCTTGATTCATTCAGTCATAATAAGCATATATCTAAGCTCAGGGGCGGATCCAGCAATTTTTGAAAGGGGGGGGGGGGGGTCCTATATAATTATGATTACCCCCCCCCCCCCCCCCCGACACACTCTCAAGCAAAGATTCACATTCACGTATGGAAAGATCTAAAGTTGTGCATATGATAGGCGTCGGAAGTAAATTTAAGGGGGGGGGGGCTAAGCCAACAAAAGATAAACCCCAATTTCCAATGCCTATATTATGTATATATTTGCAAAAAGGGGGGGGGGGCTAAGCCCTCCTAGCACACCCCCGGTTCCGACGCCTATCTTTGTGGTAAATAATAACTTTGTTTAACGTCTTTTTTTTCTTTGAGAAGGTACCCCCAGTCCGTAAAAACCAACACATTTCAAGAACTACTGAAGCCTTGAAATTGAATGGATTTGCAGCATTTCCGAAAAGTACACAGAAATCTCGTTAAGAGGGGTGGGGTGCGGGTGGGGTTTAAAACAAAGTGTTACATGTTAGTTCTTTCAAAAGATATGATCAAAAACGATATATGTATAGCCAACACGGCCAAAGATCGCGGGAATATCATATTAAACATCGCATGTTACATATCATATATAAGATATATAAAAACAAGCAGAATATTTTCTACCATTCTGTCACAAAAAAAAGTAATAGTGAAGGTGAATGGAGGAAACTAAATGTGTGAGAATCTATCTATTCAATACATAAGTTAGACGAACAAATATTTAGTATCCCCTCTCTCTCTCTCTCCACTTGGCAAAAAATAAAGGGGGGTTTCCAACCCCCGGAACCCCCCCCCCTCTGGATCCGCCAATGAAGCTACTCCCCGCGCAAAGGTAGTTCTGTCACCCGATGAACTCGAGTAATTTTATGTAATGTGAGTAAATACGCAAGTTATTTAAAATTTTCCATAATTCTATTTGAATGCCTTAATTAGTACTGGAGAAAAAAATCTTTAATATAGATTAAGCATTGTGAATACAATATTATGCTTCATTTAGCTTAAAATAAAATGAAAATTTATACGTTTCCCATCTAAAAAATTTTAATGATAAAATGTACATTCAATATAGAAGTTTTAAGTATTATGCAAAAACGTAAAATAAAGTGAGTCATTTTCATTCATAACATGCATTTCAGAAATTTTTTTTCTATTTTTTTCTCTTATAAATAATCATTTTGAAAGACAGTAGTATTCATAACAATGGATATATAAGAATTTACAAAATTACTGATCGTGTACATACAATCACATTGTTTCGTAATGACTATTTATATCACAAACACTATTTTATCCTTTTGTGTTTATCTGACACATTGTATAAGCGGAATGTCACTTCACAATTTTTTTTATCATAGCTAGGTTTAAAAATTAAGATCTACACATGTAGTCTTACAGTTACTGTGTATTATCATTTCCTTTCATACATATTTATCGTTTGTTTTAGCACAAAAAAAGTCAATGACAAATTGTAAATTTACATCATTTCAAGCAGTTTTTCACCACGTGATCTCTGCATTATGTCGTCTGCCGTTATTTCCTGAACTGCAAACGGCACACTCTTCCATTTCTTCTTAACGTCTCGTCTCCCCATGCTGTCCTCCATTAGAAGGCTTTCAATTTTAAGGATAGGAAACTGGGCATTTCTATAAATAGAAACATTCCCAAGGTCAGATCCACAAGATTTACAGAGGAGTTTGCCGACGGCGCATTTTAAATCGTCGTCTTGGAACTGTGGCCGAGGAAGACGTTGGCCAACAACTCGCTCTTTGATGTCGTCACAAATACAAGCGTGATGGGCGTTTTGGATTTTTCTGACCTCATTCGACATGCATACATACTGGCTGCATTTTTGACACCTGTAAAATTAAAAGGTAAGAACAATTAGTGTTACTTGTATATATGTACTAAAACAGCACCAAATGCATCTTGGCAATCTGCATGTATAGACTACATCAAAACTTACTGAAAAAGATTTTAACTGAAAATTCTGTTCCTCATACTTACCGTAATACATACTGTCCTTGGCGCACAACTATCCCTTCCTTATTTTTTGCAGCAAGGTCACGCTCTGTTTTGGCCTTCCTCTGTATATCCAGGATAGTTTTCAGGCAGCCTCTTGGGTCGGTTTTGAATCTCTGCCTCAGCATCTCGATGGCACGATTCATCATTGCTTCTCTGATCATGTTCAATTCTTCTCTTTCAGCGGTTTTGTCTCCTTGTGTGGCTACCACAAAGTACTTCCCATTTTCCCGCCTTCCTCTCCCTTTAACATACATTTATATCTAATGTAAGTCAAATGCATAAGGTACTGGATAAGTTGTTATTTCAGTATGTAATATGTTCATGTTTCTTTGAAAGTGATTGAAGTTAATTCACTCCTTGGCCAACAAAATTTATTTTATAATCGTCTTTCCACTACAGTGTACAGATTTCACTCATTCAAAAATATTTATTGTATAATTTTTTTTTATAGTTTACGATTGAAGAGAAACATTTAAAATAATCAACCATTAAAAACTTTCATTTTAAAAAGTAAATCACACTTACCCCTTGCCTGGACCATAGCTATCTCATTACTGACGTAAGAATATCGGATCACAAGATTACATTTCTGGATGTCCAATCCTTCCTCTGCAACTGATGTGGCGATGACAATTTTATGTCGCCCCTCCTTGAACAACGTTAGCGCGTCAATTTGCTGTACTTTTGTCATTCCTAAGGTAAAAATGTCTTTCGTTTAATAAAAGGCTCTCAAAAATGCTTTTCATGACGTATTGATCTATAATTACATGAATTGAATTGATTTCTTTCATCTATAGCTAAAAGTAGTTGAACTTTATGATCAACTCTCAAGTCTCATTTTTCATGGAAGCAAAGGCTTTTGTTACCTCCTGCACTGCTTTTAGCCTGAGCCCCAGTAAACATGACCGGCTTAAGTGATCTCAAATCATCTGTTTCCTCCATCCAGCGGTAAATTGCCTTTACCAGATCACGTGTTCTTACAAAAATTATTCCGCGGCTGTCTGCGTCAACATGAAATGCTTTCAGGATCAGTTTTCGTAGTTCCAGCAATTTTGGATTGTTGTGGTTTGGATCATATGTGCATGTCTGCAAGAACCCCTCGCTCTCTGAATTGAATAAATTATTAAGGTGAAAATTAGTGCTGTTTTTTTTCCTCTCATGAATTAATTAGTTAAATGAAAGACATAATATCTCACTTTCAAAGAAAGATTTCAGCTTGTTGTCAGTTTCATCTGGTTTTTGATGTTCTCCCCATCTCTTTAATTCATCTCTGATGAAAGCTAGAGAATCTGAAGCCCGCGCATCGTTGTATATGATCAACGATTTGTTGTACATCTGTCAAATATATTTTGGCATTTATTCCATTGCACAAAAACTGTAAAATACATGTTAAAAATAAATCAAATTACATTGTTCTACAATTTAGAGATTACCCACATCAAGATAAACTCGGCAGGTATGAATAAACCTTCTGGCTTTCTCGTTGACTATCTTTGCCTCTTCTTTCCAAAGTCTGCTGAGCCATTGTGTATACTGGTCGTTGCCGCTCTCAACTGGTGGCTTTAGAACACTCTGATCTGTAACCTCTTTTGCCTCTAAAAATAAACAATGCTTTGAATTCTTCCAATATTGATGACCACAGATTTTTTTTAACCGAACCAATTCCCAGAAAGTATGGAATGATTATCTCAAAAATATGAAGTTTACATATCATTGTTAATGTATCTAAGATATATAATAATCTTACGGTGAGAGTTGATCATCCATTTATGAATAACTTTCATGATACCATCAATGGTTTTCCCAAATTCATTTTTCGTTCTTCCAGGAGTTTTTACAACATCTGGAAAAAAAATAATAAATAAACACTGATTTTTTTTTGTTAGAATCTGGCATGTTAAGTTTCAGACATAAAACTTTTGGATCAATGTTAAACACATTTATACCGTGAGTGAAGCTCTTTCTCTTTCTCGAGCACATTGTTTTCGGGTATAAATAATGGGTTCTGTTACTAATACTTAGAGACTTTGTTGTATAAAAAGTATTAGAGGGATTTTGATCGAACCTTGATCTGGGATATTAACATGCTGTGCTAGCTCTGCCTTGTAGTCTTCAACAACACATAATTCCTCCGCGTCCATATTTGCCATCATGCTGAAGATCCATTCCATGGCCTTCTCCGTGTTCTTTGCCTTACCCACACCAACGGATGCAGTCAGACCAACAATCTTTGCAAAAATAAAAATACCCGTATAATATACACGCACACACTAAATGCAGCAAGACTAAATTTCCTAAATTGTGTTTGGTGATCATGAAGAGTGCAAACTAAAGACGAATATGACCAAGAGTTAAAGTCCGTCCTCGGATTTTTTTTCTGATTTTTTTCTTTAATTTTTAATTTAAGATTCATTCTTCTATATGAACGGTTTACAAACCTGAGGAAGCTGCCTGTGTCTGTCCTCTAGTTTTAGGTCTAAATAATGCGCCATTATTTGATTATAAGGATGTTTAGCATGTGAATGATGACACTCATCAAAGACAATCAGAGTAAAGTCTTCAATTTTTACATCACCGACCGCCAAAGCATTGACTAAGATCTGGGCTGTTATGACGAGAATATCCTTTCTGGTGAATGCAAATAAAAAAACAAATTCTACTCATCGACATTTATTTTGTTTTACATAATTATCAAATAAAAAAGGCAAGAGATTAGAAATATATGTATAAGATTTCCCTACTTTTGAACCCAGCATGACAAGTTTTGAAGACTCTCCTCTCTCTGTTTCTCTCCTGTTATGACCTTGATTTTGCAACCCAAAAACTCTTTGCAAACTTTTCCTTGTTGTTCTGCCAGAGCGCTTTGCTCAACAAGAAAGGCGACCTTTGGAAAATCCATTCGCCTGCGTTTTTCTCTGTGATTCTGAAAGTACATGCATGCAACAAGTCATTAATTCTTTCTGGGTCGGATATACTAAAAAATAATTTCATCCGCAAGATAGCTATTTACCTGTATGATTTTCATTGCAACATGAGTTTTTCCACTTCCAGTTGGAGCAACAATAATGCAGTTTTTGTCTTGAAGAGCCGCTCTTGCCAACTCCATCTGATAGTTCCGCAAGTTTAGTGGTTTTGCAGCGACTGTATCTTCATCCGAACTGTCGTTGTTTTCGTCAACTGACCGAGTTTCTGTAAACCAAATGGATTCCAATGGAAGTAATAGGCAGAGATGAAAATTTTATATACCATAACGGTAATGATAAACTTGGATGAAAATCGTGTTCTGTAATTTCTAGTATGTTATTCAAGATTTTTTTAATAACGAGATTTCATTTTATGCAATTTAAATTAAAATATTCTGAACTTTATTTGCTATATCATGCACAAGTAGACATATTCAACTGATTGTATCAGAGGGATTTCCATGCATATGTAAGAGAATATTTTGGTTTTCAAAACATTACAGTTGTAGAAATAGTTTCGCTAAAATTATTGTGTAGATATTTTCTTGATTCTTTCTAGAATTTTCGTACCAATAGCAGGACATTCTGGTCCCACAATGTTAGGCTTAGAGCCACCTTCTCTTTGGATGTTCCTGTCGACACTGTTATCCATGCTTTCCAGTAGACGCTCTACAATCGAAGAATGAATACTGCTGTACTCCTGATTTCTGCTAGGTTGCTGAATGTCAAGATCAGTGTTTTGGTCACTTGATGAAACAGAGAGACCTCCACTGGCAACTGAAAGCTTCAAGTTCTCCAAAGACTTGTTGGTCTGTTTCTCCTTTTCAACTAATGAATTCATAGAATTTTTTTGATATTCAGCCTGTGCAACTTTTTTCGCATATGTAAGCTCGTCGTCAGAGTCGTCTTGCCTCATTGAAAATAAAGAGTTACAAGTATCCCCGAAAAGAGAACTTCCTCCAAGATCCAAGTGATCCGGAGGCGGAGTAGACTGATCACCAAGAGTGATTTGTGGCTCACCGGTGTCTGTAAAGGAAAAATTGGAATTCCTACTTACAGAAGATTTTATTTGAATAATTTGAATTCGTAATATTTAAAACAATTTTGGAAAAACGTTTATATTCCCTGTGATATTTTTAATTATATACAATTAGAGATTGTTTGCTCTCAAGAAAGTTTGCTGAGTCTAACCTGATAAATAGTTCTCTCGAATGGAGGATGAGCTCAGAAGATTGTTCGAATCATGGTCTGCAGAAATTTCTGGTGCCCTAATTAGAGACTGAACCTTGATGTTATTTCGCTGTTTCCAATCTAAGCATAAATGTAGTCGAATATCAGTTTCTTGCAAAATATCCCCAAAATGTCATCTATGCATAATGAAAACAAAACAGGAACTTACTATTATAGTAGTCGCTATCAATACTTTTGACGAGATCTGAATTCTTTCCGCAAAGGACATCCAGGAATTCATCGTACCAGTTTTGATGATGACGCCAAATTCGATCCAGTAATACATTTGTAGCACATATTTTACCCTGTGTGTTTTGTTCGGCCTGAATATTTTCTTTGTCCATGTCATTTATCACATGTCTACTACATAAGTCTGGAACGATATCAGAAGGGTCGATTTTTTGGATGAATTTTACATTGTGTTCCATTAGAAGTTTTCTGTATTTGACAAATACATCTCTCGGTACTTCCCCGCCTTTCAGTGCCTTTGCTACATAATGGTACTCTACAGAATGAAAGTAATAAATTGACTTTTTTAAAGATGGAAAGTATATTTATTAACAAGCAAATTGTAAGACTTTGTTGTTTTTCTGAATATGTATTATACATTGAATTCGTTTTCAAAAAATATACACACTGAAGAAACAATTTTATAAAGAAATTGCTTCTCAAACACCAGCCTAATAGTCTCGCATACACGTAACCAATAAACTTTACAGGTTCTTATATTGCAGCACTGGACGAACCATTGTTTTCTAAAGCGTCTACAAACTTCTCCCATTTCTTTGGATGGCCACTCAATTCCAGATGATTAAGAAGACAGTCCATAGAGGCAATGTCACCTTGGTTTCTGTTTATTTGACGGACTTCTTGCCGAGCAACTAAATGGGAAATGCATTCTTCAAATTATTGTAGGTATATAGACAGATGACCACGTTCATAATTCAAATACAAATCATATATTTTCCTAGCTCTCACCTGAATTATTAAATCAATTCAAGATTCAATAAAGCTTTCTTTTAACCCATTGACGTCTACTTCTTTGTAAAATTTTAAAATTTTCGAATTTTTCTCTTAAACTGCTAAGTGTTATCAAAAAGAAAATTCTTAGGTAAAAGAGAGTAAATTTAAGCACCATGTCCTCTTACAAGTGGAGACATTCTTAAATATGCAAGCGTTGCACAGATTGAAGTTTGTTCAGAACAAGGACCCTGTGGCTAGAGAAATTCAGGGGCAAAATCAATATTTTTACAAGTCGTACATGTAGAATTTTTACAAAATTTCTTTAAGTGTGTAAATACTACGAACATCTGGAGAGTCATGTTTTTTTTTTTCAACCATAGTTAATGTGATTCCAAAGTTTGGAGTAAAATTTTACATACTAGTATGCATATATAATAGATAGATCTAATAGGACGAAGAAGCTTAATAATTTTTCAACTTAATTGAAGCACCCCCCATGTTCACAGTTGATAAGATTCAAATTCCATTTTTAAAAGTGACGGATATTGGAGATAGGAGGTGATCAATATCAGGTAATTTTCTTTTTTCAGAACAAGTAAAATTTTTCATGGGCCTTACAATTTCATTTAAGTAACAAGCAGAGAATAACAGAGCCGGGTGTAAATGTAACTTAGATGATTACAAAGCATTTTTATGATCACAGAGGAAACAAATGCGTTATCCAGGTTCAATCAAGGGTGTACGGGGATTTACCCCGGGTTGTATTCCATACAAATATTTTATTAACTGCATGCATACATACCGTCATCGATGACACCTTTTAGATGAGAAATTAACTCTCTTCCCTGGGCACATCTCACAACAAGAGGTCTGTACAAAGACACCAATTTAGGTATGTCTGGCGTGTCCAGTGTACATTTTATACTTGGCATCCCCGAGAGGGAGCTGTCTGGGCCGTTGTTTATGTCACCCATAGCTGTAATGTTCATCATGATAGAACATTCAATTCAATATAAATGTATTATATTTTATAAGCTCTTTCAATCAGTGCCAGATGCTTTAACAATGCAGTATTTCTTCTTCATATCTATATCGCTCACCCAAGTTTTGTTCTTATCGGCCTTTTCAGTTACTGTGTTATTATATAATTCCTTAGAACAGCATCAAGGTAGCAATTAGCTAAGTTGTTTTTCCAAAAATCTGTTTTTTATAAAGATAAATTTATATTGTTGGTAAAAATAGATACAATACAAAATCGCAATTAAATCAGCTGATTATTTCAGGTCAGATTGGGTCAAACCTCGATCAGTCTCTTTGACCACAGGAGTTCGCGACTCACACCGACATCAATCTAATGGATTTTGTATAGTATACTTACCTCTTTCGCATTTGTTTCTTCTGGTTAATTGTCATCAATACATTAACTTTCGTTTCTTTTTCCAAGGATAGCTAATATTAGATTTGTTTGCATTGTATCTATTTTTATGCATAGGGGTTTTCCAGCTTTGGGGTTTTATCTAAAATCTGGATTGGAACATCAACATTTGCGCCAAATAATGCTTTATCTTTGGTAATCTTTCATAAAAATAAATAATTATGCTTCCGTAAACAAAGTCTCGGGGGTATATACCGTTTTAGCCTGTCCGTCTGTTTGTACGCAAAAACTTTAACCTTGCCTATAATTTTTCAGTGGGTGGGGCAATGGCTTTCATATTTCACAGGTGTATTCCTATTTCAAGACATTTCTTTGGGTACCATTAAATTTGACCGTTTAACCTTGACCTTGGAGTTTGACCCATTATAACAAAAAAAACCCCCAAAACATTTATTTACTTTAGCCATATTTTTTAAATGGTTGGTGCCAGGGACTTTCGAATTCATACTTCTCATATGTACTTTGTGTGGCAAGACCTCTCCTAGAATACGAACAACTTTGACCTTGACCTCGGTAGATTGACCAACCTACCTTGGCCATTACTTTTGAACGTTTAAAGCAAGGGCTTTCATATTTCACATGTGTAATTCTTGTGACAAGACCTTTTTTTGTAAAAACCAACAACTATGACCCTTTGACCTTGATCTAAGAGTTTGACCTACTTTTAAAAAAACTTTAACCTTGGTCATAAATTTTGAAAAGGTGGTGCTAAGGCTTTCATATTTCACATTTGTTTTTCTTGTGAAAATTCCTTACTTTGAGTACCAACATATTTGATTATCATTTACATTTGAGAAAGTTTTACCTTCGCTATGTTGCCATATGGGGACATAAGTGTTTCACAAACATATCTTGTTTATAGGTTTTTTTTCTTGCCCAAAAATGTCATAATCTTTATTTTAAGAACTTTGAAGTGTATTTAAAGAAGATTCAAAATTTTATTTATTTTACATTTCAACATCCAGAAGACAAGCCCCTATGGTTTTTACATACCTCTGTCAACGTTTGCTATAATATTCAAGGAAAATTTGTAACTGATGAAAATTTCATTAACACTCGATTTTATTTTTATGCGCCCGGATCGATAAATCCGAGGCGTATATTGTTTTTGTCCTGTCTGTTTGTTTGTCAGTTGTCAACTTTAACCTTCGCCATAACTTTTGAACCATGAAAGATAGAGACTTCATATTTGATATGCTTACTCCACCAATGACGCTCTTTCAAATGACACCAAAGTCAATTACCTTGTGACCTTGACTGACCTATATGCTAAAAATAGATTTTACAAAATTTTCGCCATAACTTTTGAACCATGAGAGATAGAGACTTCATATTTGGTGTGCATACTCCACTATTGAAGTTCTTCAAATGACACCAAGGTCAATGACCTTGTGATCTTGACTTTCACTTATCTGCTGAAAAGAGTTTTTTTTAAATGCGCATAGTGTTTCAGGTTTTGTTGGTTCTAAAATTGTCCATAAGAAAATAATAATGTATATTTAGGAGCTCCTCAAACACATCTTGTTTCTTATTAGAAAACTGGATTTTTAAAAATTAATTATTCTTAAAATTTTTTTAATGAAGTTTTCAATTTGGTGTAGTATAGTTCCCCCAAAACTTTTGGAATACATGTAAATTGTCTTGACAGATAATGAATTTAAAATAGATTTGACTGGCTGAGAAGTTGGTAGCACAGTACCCAAATGTACATGTGTATTCAATTCAAATAGAAGGGCCTCAAGGTAAAAAAAAACATGCAGTTAATACAGACATAAGAAGTTTGATTTTTATATATATTCTCTTTATTTCACATTTTTTTCATAGCTGTAAACACTAAAATAAAATTACTTACACATATGCACATGTATATATAAAATGACAATAAAATGTTTCTTTGAATTTTTATACTTTATATAAGGATACTCAAAATCTTTTCAAAAGATATTATGGATATGATCACTTTCTTGCCACCCTGCCTCTTGTTCCAAACTCTCATCATCTTTCGTAAGAGTTTTAAATCGAACACCACTAAGGATTGCCAAGAACAACAAAACAGCACAGATCACAAAGATCATTTGATTTCCATGTCGGAACACATCTTCATGAAGAAGTAACAACACTGCACAGGCAATCAGATTAATCGGAACACGGAACCAATTCATAATGCTCCAACGATGAGTGTCTGGAATGATTCTAGAACGCAGGAATCCCATAGCGGGAAAATAGATGCCTACAGCGATTTCAAACACCACAAAAGCAGAAAAGGACAGACTGTAGTCGAGAGTACCGGGGTGAGTGGAATAAATCAACAATAAATTAGCAAGGAGGGCTATTGAGATGGATGTCATGAGTAAAACTGTTGTGGACATTTTCTTCCGCAAGGACATCACTTGGAAGAATGCTTGTCCTGTCAATATGCTTATCATAAATGTTGAAAAGACAACACCTAACATAGGTTTTGTTGGTTCTAAAATGGGTGTCCATAAGAAAATAATAATGTATATGACACTCTCAAAAAGAGATTCGATGGCTCCTAGCATAAATATTTTTTCCTCAGTCACAATGCTTTTAAAACCTTCACCACATAACTTTCGAAATTTGATTGTATGTCCACTGTAGTTCTCATTCCAGGTGTACATAACAACCACACCAGCAATTATCAGGAATGGTATTGCCAATATGTATGGAGCTACAGGCCCAAATCCCATCCAGTCGCAGAGAACATTAGTTGTAAATCCGGCCAAAATGGCCATCAATCCATTCCAAAAAGATGCTTTAGCAAATGTCACTGCAATCCATTCTTTAGGAAAATCATGTGTCTCCACATGTTCATGCACATACCATGCTTCAAAGGCTGAGAATAAAACTGATGTGGCTATTCCACCTAGAATTCTCCCAATCAAAAGGATTCCATAACTCCTTGACAGCTTCAGTATACAGGAAACAGAATACAGAACTGTGAATGACATGCATAACTTCTTTCGACCAAACTGGTCTGCAGCAATGGGTGTCCAAGTTCCCAGTAAAACAGTGGAAGCAAATCCAAACACGTATAAAATGGCAATTTGTTCCTCTTGAAAACCATAGTGGTGGTACAACTTATAAAGGTAGGGACCTTGTAACCAGTCTGCAAACATTGCCATCAAGTAGGCTGCAAAATAGCCACGCTGAAACTTGATAAACATTGGATTGTTTCCAATGGATGCATCTCTGCGCAGCCTATGGGCCACATATTGGAAGGCAGCACACACAACTGCGAGGAGAATTAAGGTGAAGTATACGATTGGTCCAATCATGGTGCTAAATTGTTATCATATCATCATCTAGAAAGAAATCAAAAACAATCATGATAAGAAACGATTCAACTAAATCTTAAAAAATGTTTTAGTTCACTAATCTTGTAGAAAAGAAAGTATACTCAGGTACCTTACTGCAGACAATTGCAATACATGTATTTTTTTTAAAATTGTAGATTTTAATTATGGAACCCTTTACAGGATCTAAATGAAAATTTAACTAGATATTGTAAAAGGTTCTATAATTAAAAGTTTGTATGAAATATGTTTGGATCAATAAAATCCATTTAGCAAAGAATTTTTGGTTCATAATATAAGTCATTTCATGGATAGTCCGTTCACCATATTAAATTCTTGTTGGGTACCCCAATCAACATATATCCTTAACACGCTTTTGTAAATATTTTATATCAACATTATCATTGAATTTTTTTGGAATTTATTAATTTAATAATTACATTTCATTTCCATCAGTATTTGAATTTTTTTCAAAGAATTAATTGGTTTAATGGCTGTTTATTTAGTACTAACTGTAAAGCTGAATGTTACATTTTCTATGTTCGTTAGTTTTTTAAAGGTTTTTGATTGTATAATATTTCTGTTTTGAAAATAAATAAGGCAATCAAGATTGACCTAATTTAATAAAACATTACTTATAATTTAACAAGTATCAAATTGATTACTTTGCAATTTTTATTTATTTCTTCATCTATACTGAATATTCATATATATAATAAATTACAATTTTTAACAAATATCAAGAAATCCAATAAAAGGAAAGGAATTGAATTACTAAAGACTAACCAAGAACATATAATTTAGACATGTCTTGGTCTTTGAGAGAAAAAAAGTTTTAGAGCACAATCTGGGCAAAATGAGAATCAAAGCAAACAGTGTCAAGGGCAAACTCATTTTAGGGTGAAAAAATTTAGTAACTTACATTTGTTAATATATGATATTTTCCCAGTTTCAACTAAATGTCGCTATTTTTCCCAAATGGAATCCATAAGCCATCACTTTCAAGACCTAAAGAATCCCTGTTGTTTTATCATTGAAATATTTCTATGTGTTCTGTTCAATATTCCAAAAACTTATCACAAAATTATCAGTTCCAGTCCAAAGACTATTTCTAGTATAGTAGTGTTGCAAAATCAGACCGAATTTACAATCAATTATCAAATTGAATCGGTAGCATACAATCAGTTATATGACTGATAATTTTGAACTTTATTTCAAACAAATTAAGTGAACCATGAAATTGTCAGATATTCTTGGAAATAAAAAACAATATTTCAATACAAATTTAGCTGTCATATTTATTTATTAATATTTATTTATCTTTATTTATTTCTTTCTTTTTATTTATTTATTTTTTATTTCATATATTGACACATAATAAAGTTTTCAGTTTAAAACAATAACTTTCGCTTTCAATAAATGCCTCAATATTAGGGTCAAACATCCCCAGAGAGGTGTGGCATTTACAGGGGACACCCAAAATAGCTGCCTTGAATGTGGGTTGTTACAACCCGATTCCTTGTTCGACCCACGTGGTTTTGACCCGAGTGGTTTTGTTCTGAAGCAATATTAATTAACAATTATTTCGATAGTTTAATTTTTTTGGGTCTAGTTCAAATCATTCAGATTTTTTTAACGACCATAATGTTTGTAATTAAAAATATTGATGTTTATTTAAGTTGGAAAAACCTACACTGTTTATACAGTACGTGAACATGGTGCGCATTTGAAGAAGTATTTTATCTTCAAAATTACAAATAAATAATTATTATATTTCAAATTAAATTAATTACATCCTTGTCCTAAAAGCGTTAAGAAAAAAACTTTACTATTGACTTCAATGTTGACATTGAACCAATTATTGACACGTATCCCTCCCTGAAGCCATAGTCTAGGTAATCGATGTACAGCTACCTAGTATCCATGTGTATGCCTTATAGTGTGAACCTCTCTATTTACCTGTATGTATATATAAGCAGGTCGAAACCACTCTAGTCGTTACCATGCGGGTCGAACACGGAATCGGGTCATAACCACTCGACACCGCTGCCTTGTGTTGAAAAACAAAGTTAAAAAAATTGTGGAGGGAATTGCTAAATGATATAATAATGATCATATTTATGGTGAATGTTGTCTAGGTTGAAATACAAGTATTTCATATCTCAAATAAAGTTACAATATAATAATTATTATTCTTTGTAAAAACTGAATCAGTTGATTAATCCAACAAAGATTTGGCAGGAAAAAAATCCACACGAGTACAAAGTGAATGGGTCCCATTTTTAGAAAAAGAGGAACATCTTTTAAAAATATTCAAAGAAAAACCATTTTGTTTCAAAATACATTCTGAAAAAAAAAAATAGCGACTATCTATTTTATGAATTTTCTATCGATTGTCGCCGAAATTCTGTCCTCCGTGACAATTTTTCGATAGTCAGCCACTATCGTAACTACACTATAGTATAATATAGTATATTATTATATGATTAAATAATTTCCATCTCTCTGATTGGCTGAGATCCAACTATGTTAGAAAAATACTACGTTGTATTGACCTGCACGTGATGTTCCAGGTGAATACAAGGATTTATTTCCTCTACATTGGTCTAAAAATAGATCGGGAAATTCCAAATTAATACAAATTGTTTTTGAAAGCTATTTAAACGACTATAACTTTTTTTCCATGTGAACAAAACGTAAGCGAATATATATTTTTGGGTGAAGGTGGTAAGAGGGAATGCAGGAACCCCCGTCCAACACTTTTACTGAACAACAATTTTTACTTTTTGGCGGTCAGTTTTCCCTGATTATACCCCTTTCTTTCAAAGTCTATCCTATAAAAAAGACTGACATCATATTTTTTTTCATGGCAACTAAAATTGTTAAAAACATTTCAAATTGATACGACTGGTAAGATTTATTTACAATTTAATTCTGCTTCTCTCTTGTATTTGACTAGGACTTAATTAAATGCAAACAAGTAATGAGCTGTATCATTTTATCAGTTAATCATATAATAAAACTAAAACAATTATTGCTGTTTTTGAGGTCAATACAATGATTTAGCCATCTCTGAAGTACAATATTCACCTCGCCCTTCGGGCTCGGTGAATATTGTACTCCTCAGATGGCTAAATCATTGTATTGACCTCAAAAAACAGCAATAATTGTATAATAATTTATGCAAAATTGTTTATTTACGTAGTAATAAGTAATCATTGTTTGACCAAAATTTTGTTGCATTCCTCATCAGTATGACTGCATGTAGCAAAAGTTGGTAAAAATACTTTATAGCTACTTTGGGTAGGTTTATATACCTACGTAGCTATTAATAGCTCCGTACGTAGAAATAGTCTTTGGACTGGACCTGATTATGAATCAAAGAAGATAACAAAATCTACTCGAAATATGTCCATCAATGATCAAGTTCAACAGGTTCAATTCTAAGGAAAGTTTAACCATGTGTCTTATGATGTAGAGATATTTCTAATATATGTGCTGTAAATATCATTTATACATGGTTGTTTATCTTATAGGTCTGTTTGAGATAAAAAATTTATTCGCAATTTTTAGAGGTAATAGGTTTAGATTTTTTGGACACGTATCATCTACCGAGAAGTAGAAATTTACAAAAATATGGAGTCTATATAGTCTTTGTTCATATTTTTTCTGATTATTCAGTGATAACAAAGTAATATTACCATTTAATAAGCTTGAACTGTTATGGCAAACCTATCAAATCCTGCTTCTCAGCCGCAGTCTTTGCTTGTCAACTTGTCCACTGTTTTGATGAGCTGTACTGTTGGATTATCGATCCCGATTTAAATGCTTTTTGTGCTTATTGTTGCGGAAGAAAAACTTGCTTTCATATTTTCTGGAATATGAAAACTACTTTAAATTACAAAATAAAATTAATTTATCTACAAATATTTAGAAATGAGCAATATTTTGAGTTGTCACCAATAATATTTTTAATCGGGCTCACACTGAAATTGAAAGTAGAAATCGAAAAAGGGAAAAGTACAGAAGCACGTTTTTCAAAAATTGTTGTTGACAACATTTACAAAATGGAAACAGTACGTTTACCACAGAAGAAGTACTACAGACAAAGAGCTCATGCAAATCCCATGACAGACCACAGTTTTGATGTGTACGTTTTGTTTATATTGGCTCATATTTGAATTATTAGAACCATGAACAGAAATTAACAGGTCCAGTCCAAAGACTATTTCTACCTACGTAGCTATTAATAGCTACGTAGGAAGCCTACCAAAAGTAGCTAGTTTTACCTACTTTCTGCTTTACTTGCATTTTGCGGCTGAACGGCGCAATATGGTGAATACAATATTTCTTGATACAGTCACACTGATGATGGATATGACAAAAATTTGACCCGAAAATGATTACTTCGTAAATTAACTATTTTGAATAGAAATTCATGTAAAATTGAAGATTTTGGAAGTTATCATATTTTGGCCAAAATTTCGTCGTATTCATCATTAGTGTGACTGTATCAAAATATTATATGGTATTCACCATTTTGCGCCATTTGGTCTTTTGGTTACAAAATGCATATAATACAAAAAGTAGGTAAATATAGCTACTTTGGGTAGGTTTAAAAACCTATCTAGCTATTAATAGCGACGTAGGTAGAAATAGTCTTTGGACTGGACCTGACTAACAGATTAACATGTTTAAAATGTTTAATATCAACCTATCGTGTTATTTTCAAATGTTTGTCTCAGACATCATGGATGAAGATCGATATACTACTTAAAATGAATAGCTCCCTTGTCAAATGAAAATTATCATGCCATCAGTTGCATCAGCTGTTTCATTCACTGGAGCTGAAGGCTGAACCATGTTAACATGCTAGAGTCAAAGCTTACATGATACATGTAAACTTCACATTTTTTAAAAGATGATTTTTATTTTAATTTATTTTCTTCTCATGAACCAAAAAGTTAGTTTCAGCCAATCTTGGCAGAATGTTTCTTTGAGTATTGGAGATTCGATTTTTAATTATTGAGTCATATGATTCCTACTGAAAGGAGAGATAGAGAAGAAAAGACAAAATATAAATTAAAGTAGTGTCTTTATATAAAAATTGTCTCAAAAACTGCTGAGCCAGTAGAAATTGTAAATTATGTGAAAGTTTCCAGACATAGTCTTAATTAAAGTATGTTTGAATATTCATGGTCTGGGGAAGGGGGTGGAGGTGTCAATATATTATCATTTAAAGTATTAAATTGGAAAATAGAGGAGAAAAATTTTCAATTTTTTGTAAAGAACAGCAGGACCATAATTAGTGAAATTAATATACAAGCATTCTCTGGTTGTGCAGATTGAAATTAGTTCAATTTATGACTGTTGATAGGATGGGGTCACACAGGGTATGAAATTACTGTATACAGGGTCATTTTTGCCCCACTTTATTTTTGCTCTTTCAATTTTGCAGACAATTTTGCCCCATCTTGAATTCACCCAGTAACACTTTTATTTAAGAAATTTTACTCTATTCTTTAAATTCGCCCTGTTTCAAATTCACCCAACCAAGGTTAGGGTGAACAGTGAAAGGGGCGAAAATAATACAGCCAGGAGCGAAAATTTCCCTGTATACAGTATTATCTGGAACAAGTCAGTTGGAAAAATCTATAAAAAAAATTTCTAGCAAGAATTAGAACATGATAAGTAATTTCAATGTGTTTTGTTTGTTTGATTTTTGTAGGTCATGTAGTTTGTTAATTGACACTCTCTAACTGTATATCAGAATATTTTCTCTCATAAATAAACCTTTCAAGTTTCTTCCCAAAGAAATATGTGTAGCAGAATATTTTTTGGCTTAATGACAAGCCAAATTAGTTGAAAAAAAAGGAACTCAACATATAGCTGAACCAATCAGACTCTCCTTGCAATGACTACAGTTATAATCTTTTGTGTTAGTGAATTTTCACTGACTTACAGTCAAGTTACAGAAAATACACCAGCACCTCTACCCCAAAATATCTGCAGCCGTTTACAGTTTTTTTCTTAAAGAAATTTTATTTAACCTTAAAGTTTATTTGCAGCCCAGTGAAGCCAGAAGACATGGAGTGGAGTGAACATTACCCAGACTTCTTCAGTTCTGGTCAAAAGATCACAGAATGCAATCACAGAGTGCAGTTTGCAGACATTGGCTGTGGTTATGGAGGCTTGTTAGGTAACAGTACAGTTGACCTTTACTTAAAAATCACAATTATCTACACCATTTTCACAAAAAAATGAAGAAAATTGTAGGTATATATTATTAATATAAACTAGGGCAACTCTCATGAAGTTCTACAGAGTAAAATGCTTTCATGAGATTGACTTTCTTTGAGAATGGTGTAAACCAACAATTATTCATGTAATCTTTTATTCGTGATTCGTCAGTTACAATTCAATCCGCGACGATTAATTTCCATAACTGAGGAAACATTCTATACAAGTGCTTAGCAGAATGAATTGTTCGCAATGTTTAATATTTGCAAATGAAAGTAGATCGCTGAACTCAGCTTGCAAGCATATAACCAATAAAAGTTGGTTTACAGTACTAGTTAAAGAAATGGGTAATTGAAAATGTCAACAGAAAGTACAATACGTAAAGTATATTCATGCTAAACATATGACAAAATCTGATCGGACCCCCCCCCCCCCAATTTATGCACTTCTTGTTTTAGTCCAACCATTTTTTCAATGCAGTGACATGTAAATAATGCTTAAAGGTAGCCCATTATTGCCAATCTCAGTTGTAAGAAAACAATTAAAACATTAAAACAAAGAGAAATATCTTCAAGACATATTATTTACGACAGGGAGGTTGATATACTTCAGTCAAGTTCATGTTTTTAAAGAAAAGTTGTCCTTATATAGGGTGAATTCACCATGCATCGGATACCCTTGTACTTCAACAAGTTCTAGCGATATCGCTACCGACGGAAAATTATCAAAATGGAGTTTAACATTTAGTTTGTGATTAAAATAACAATTTAGGGCACAATTATATGCCATTTATTGAGAAAAAATCGCCAAAAGTCGAGTTTTTAGAAAAAACTAAAAATTCACCATGGATCGGACATTGTTCACCATGCATCAGACAGACGGTATGGAGACCGGAAAAATATCATACCTTTATCACAGTGCTTTAAAATCCTTGATATGGATATATTTTCATCTTTTATCTTAGAAATAACCCTCAACTTTAATTTAATCGACGATATTATTGCACAAATATAGAACGATTGTCGAGACCTCACTCTGCCTTAGAAATGCTTTAAAATGCTTATAATGCCGTAAGTGGACTGGTTTGTAGAAATAAATTGTAACGTCATATATCGATAACTTGTATTTAGACTGAAAATATAAAGTTTTTATTTTCTTTTTCCGCAAAAAACAGCTGTCAGCTGAGTTCTGTATGAATTTGGTAGTGCTTACCTTTGCATCGAAAAGTGTCCGATGCATGGTTAATTTGTGTCCGATGTACGGTGAAAATAGCATACAAGTAAAAACAAGCTCTAATAGGAATTATACAATTATTGAAGTGAAATTTAATTATAATTCATGTGAAAACAAAAAGAAAGTCCGACTTTCCGTGGAAGTCGAATTTAAAAGAACGATAACTCTAAAAATTGCAAAATCACGAATTTCGGGTTATTCCCCTTTGATGATGTAAAATATGGTTCAAGGCCAATTTTTATCACAACATGATAAACACAATCGGTATCATTAAAAAATTTAAATCTTCGTCTTTATGACAGAAACAAATAAATGAACTTTTTGAAAGAGAGTTTATTGCCTAAAGTTGTCCGAAGCAAGGTATGATTCCGATGCATGGTGAACTCACCCTATATAATTCAATACCATCCTAAATGTATGCAAGGTATGTCATGTATTATAGAATAATTCACTGAGAAGGAAAATTCAGAAAATAAAATTTCTGATAAAAGCTTGTTACAAATTCACCTCTTGTAAAAGTGCAATTGAGATATCAATTACCAGCTTAAAATCTATGTTATTCAAATAATAAAAAATATAAGGAAATCATTTCATTGACAAGAAAATTGGAGAATTCTAAAAAATCATACAAGTTCTGAAATGAAAGTCTTGTATTGCATGCGTGTATCATCATTCCATCTCAATGTCAGATCTGACCCAAGGGCCGGTAATTGATATTGGTCAAGGACTTATAAATAGGAGAAGAGTAGAGAAAGTATATATACAAAATTATCTTGTACACAACTCACCAAGAATGACCAGAATTTACAATGATGTAGAAACATCAAGTGTAACAGAAATTGGATAGGTAGTCAAGTAGCTCAGCGGTGAAGCACTCACACAGTTAGTTGGCAGTCTCAGGTTCAAGTCCCAGTCTTGATGGACATTTTCCCCTCTCTGTTATATTGGATTCTCCATGACAAAACTGATGGGCTGCTTAGTAGAGTGTTAGTGAGGGAGTCTCCGTTAAGTTTTCAGGATGGAGAACCTCAAATAAAAGGAAGAAAGAGTGCACTGGGTGGGATGGGGTGGTGATAGCTTTAAAATATGCTACTGTATTAAAAATGCACTGATAATCCAACAAAACCCCGAGGAAGTACCAAGTTGCTCTGAGAAAACCCTGAGAGGCACTGAGGCTGCTACTGAGAGACTGAGGTAGTCCTGAGGGGCACTGAAGTTTTCACCATTGGCACTCAGGGAGTACTGAGGGATACTGAGGAGGTAGCTAATTGGTGGTACAGCACTGAATGATTAGTGGGAGGTCCCAGGTTTAGGGTCCCAGTTAGGCAAACATTTTCCTGGCTGTTATGGAAAATAGAATTTATTCACCCGTTAAGACACTAATGGGAAATTGGAGCCTTCTAATTCTCTACAATATTTCTTTTCAATGTATTTAATAATTTATACCTCTCATTTACAACAAAGTACATGTATTTATTTTATTGTTCTTTGTTAAATCACAAAATGAATATGAATAATGTACACATAGACTGGACATTATGGAGGAAAACAATTGATGAATAGTTAATGACGTCAGTAAAAAAATTGATTTCTTTACATTTTTCAGGATATATAAGCATGCAAAGGTAATTTGCTGTGATTTCCCACTGCAATTGAAACATTTTAAAAAGATTAATTGTTGTTGGTATAAATGGATGTGATGTTTACTTATGGAATGGCATTAATGCTTGTTTTCCGATTAGTCATAGCAAGCAATATTCTAATGGGTTTACTCAGTGTATTGAACTTATGCTGAAAATTGAGGAGCGACTTTGACTTTTTACATTAAATTGTGTTAAATTGATCACCTGGACTTGGGTTACAGTAACCGAGTCAGATGTAATTACCTTTGGTAATTTTTATTTGCTTGATCGATTTCAAACACTGAGAGCATTTTGTGTCAAACTAAGTGCTTGACATGTATTTTTGTGTCTTAATTGTGAAATCCTTTTAATAAAAAAGTAACAAAAAATTGTCTATGCTTTTCATGTGGTTTTGGAAGGCATTGAAATCTATATTTCAGTCTGACATATAAATGCAATGACCCATGTTTTAATTTTCTTTTGAAACATTAAAATGTAAAAAGCTCTAATATTAATATTCTAATTAAAGTTAGATGTCCCGCTATCACTTCGCAAATGATAGCGGATTTGGAACATCTTATTTTAATTGTATTGTAATTTAAGTGAAAAAAAAAACAAACAAAAATAGAATACACTTGTTTCTTAAACATGAATATGTTAAAGGATATATGATTTTGATATGATTAAACTTTTGACTTAAGGTATTCAATTTATAACGAAGGGATTTTGAATGATTTTAGATAGTTCTAAAATAGTTTAAAGCACATTGCTAGATAATGATAAAAGTGAAATGAACCAAATTCACAAGATTGATAACATGTAAGGAGACGGTCATTTTGCACATTAAAAGTTTTTGAAAAGTTATCTGCCCTGCCCCATGATGAATAGAAGAAAATTTTTGATTTCACAAAATTTCTGCAGTAAATAATTCATTTTACTTCAAACTTTTACAAAGAGGGAGTTTATGCATATTTTCACCAAGAGATTTGTTTGAAATTTTAATTACTTTTTACAATATTTTATAAAAACATGTGCTGCCCATAGACTTCAATGTAAAATTCAAGGTGATATTAAGTGGACAATGATCAAAATTTTGTAAATTCCTTTGATGGAGCACTTTTATTTGATAACATCTTCAAAATGCAACCATGATTAAAAATATCAGACAATTCATTTATTTAAGGTACAAAATATGTTCGTTATACATTGAATACCTTAAGATCTTTAACCAGGATTTATTCTCTTCACACTATCAATTTAGTGCTATTTTTTTCTGATTTCCTTGAAATGTTGAAGTAAATCATAAGGACAATTTTTTGGTTTTCACATGTTTCATGCAGTCTACCTTGCATGGTCACTTCTGGATGTTCTTTCATAAATCCTCACATTGATTGGATCAATATCAAAGCGATCATTAACATTTGATCTGATTTTGAAATATGTAGTTGATTATATAAATGTCCTATTTATCCTGCCTATCTGACAAATACTAGTAACATCTAGAGTGATTAGAATGGAGAATTTTTCGAGGACACAGATGAAGTCGATGTGGTTTATCCCTTCCATGTTTCTCAATTGCATTATATTTGGAACACAAGTTCAGGGAGCAATGTTTTCAGACAGTTCCTCTCTTTACCAAAACTTATTTGGGAATTATAATCCAGATTTACGCCCTCAGACGAATCTGTCAGAACCAACAAAAGTGGGCATTTATGTTTATTTAATATCACTGAACAATTTAGATGAAATATCCGGAATACTGTCAGTGGTAGCCGCCTTCAGACTGGAATGGAATGATTTTCGCCTTAAGTGGTCGCCGAGTACCTACGGAGGACTGGACAACTTGCCAATTCCTGTCAAAAAGATTTGGGCCCCAAGGCTGTTTCTGATAGACCCTGCTAATGAGATGGAAGCTATCGGAGATGGCGACTTTCTTGGAAGGATGTATTCTGATGGCACCATGTCATGGGTGCCAGGTGGACTACTTACTTCCCTTTGTAGCATTGATATGTTCAGGTTTCCGTTCGATACACAGGAATGCTCGCTTAATTTTATGCTCTGGGGATATATCCCTACAGAAGCTGTCTTGCATCCCTGGAATAATGTCACTAAAATAGACACTTCTTTCTACAACGAAAATGGCCAGTGGGATTTGAAGAAGACTCACGTGGCCCGGGCAGCTCTTGAACAACACCAGACTCTGGTACGAATCACATTGACTCTGCAAAGAAAGTCTCTGTATTTCATTCTCAACATGTTGGCTCCAATTCTTCTCCTATCCTTTCTGAATCCATTGGTATTTGTTTTACCTATGGATAGCGGAGAACGCATTTCCTATGCAATTACGATTTTCTTATCTTTTGCTGTATTTATGACTTTACTCAGTGACAACATGCCAAAATCATCAGAACCTATGGCTCTTCTGTCATACTTCTTGATTTTTACGATGTGTTTGAGCACACTCATGACTATTTTAACAATATTCACCATGTGTCTTCATTTAAAAGAACCAGAAGCAAAAGTTTCCAGAACATTGCTGAATGTTTTAAAACTTCTTCAACTCCGGTTTATATTTAATTGCTGTAAGAAGAAAAAATCAGGATCTGCTATGATTGGTGCAGAAAATGAAGTCAAAGATGTAGTGTTTGTGAAGACTTGTGTAGGGACTAATAAACTGGAAAACGGAGAAAGTAATGAATATGACAATGTTACGACTTATAAAAGTGTGGCGCGTTCCTATGATAGAGTATTAATGTACTACTTCTATTTCTTGACTTTCTTTTTCTGGATATCATACACTATTTCGGTTAGATTTTGATGGCAGTTTCCTAGAATTGTTGGAAGCTGTAAAACACAGACCTGTAATATATTCTCGTCGTATAGAATTCCTTTTAAAATACATTTCTTCTATGGTACATGTTGTGAATGAAATAAAATGAAATTTTTGAGATTTTTCTCACACATTAAATGTTACGTGGAAATGTTATTTTGTTCATACCGTCCTCGCAAAATGAAAATCTCTCTGTTTTAGTATATGGCATTCATCTTATTACTAATAAATGTGGATCCTTTGTAAAATTGTTAAAGGTCCCTTGCTCTATCTCCCAATACTCAATAACGTGTCCAATGTATCCGACTGACGTTTTAAGTACTAATTATTAGTATATTATTTATATACCGAATTGACGACGGATTTTCCCGTTATTTCTTGATCATGACAAGGAGCACACGGCGGGTGTGACCACTTCCCTGATGATGCCCACTCTTCGATGGCACCTGATCCAACCTCTGATGTTTTTGAGGTCCGAGGTTGCTCTGCTCCTGTTTTGTATTGTTTTATGAACTTTTGATCTTGAATACTGTTTGTTATCTGCATGTGTTTCATACAATGTATTCGCCCAGGTTAGACTAGTCTTTGCA